TGTTTAAGCTGTTTTTTCGATTTAGCCTGGCATAGAAAATGTGCTCTCTTGTCAGGTCACTGTTGTTCAGAGGAGCTAGCCAACAACACAGCTAACACAATCACTTCAAACTGAAGCTGGAAAGACTGCAAACTAGATACATTTCGTTTAACCTGTTTCTATTGACATTTCTTTGTATATATCCATAAAAATGATTCCAGCTGATTCATGATTTCGACTGGCTGAGAAAAGCTGTCTGCCTGTCTGTCTCGTCCCGAGAGACAGACAGCAAGGTTTACACAAATCTCCGCTGTTGAAAACCAAATGCTAGTCTAAAAGAAATGGGAGATAATGTCTAGATGCTTTATATAGTGGAGATAAAGTTTATAAATTGCCTGGCTGGGCTGTTGAGACAGTGGATTGTGCAGTCAGATGGAAAATAATAAATAGGCATTTCAACGTCATAGCTTTAGCCGGTGGTAACTTGTGGAATAGACATCTGCTGGAATGCGGTTTTAACCAATCATCATCCAGGATTAGACCCAACCATTGTATAATTAAGCAATAAGTCCTGAGGGGGTGTGGTATATTGCCAATATACCACGGATAAGGGCTGTTCTTAGGCACAATGCAACGCAGAGTGCGTGGATACAGCCCTTAGCCGTGGTATATTGGCCATATACCACAAACCCCAGAGGTGCCTTATTGATATTATAAACTGGTTACCAACGTAATTAATGCAGTAAAAATAAATGTTTTGTCATACCCGTGGTATATGGTCTGATATACCACAGCTGTCAGCCAATCAGCATTCAGGGCTCGAACCACCCAGTTTATAATGGAGGTTAAACAACTCAACCTGCATGCCTAGTAGTGCCCACCTTGGTCTCTTCCCCTCAATGATAGAACAGGGAATGTTTGGAAAAGCATTGATTTTCTTTTAGAACTAAGCAGACTTTCCAGAGTAAAACACATCATTCCCATCTTGCCTCAACATGATACAATTTATTATTATCCTATAACTGTAATACATGCTTGTTTGTGGTGACAATGTAGTTGACTAAAACCGATCAACAGCTGCTCCAAGTGGTTGAGTATGGTATTACTGCATCGTGAATATCAATGTCTAAACAGACTGGGGTAAAGAAATACGGGCTACTTCAGTTCGTAATATTAGCAGTCGAGTTAAAACTGTGCACGGACTGTCTAAAATGTTTCATTCCATCATTGAAAAATATTGCAGAATAGATTAGTTTTTTCAGACACCTGTTGAGACAACACATTTGCCAAGACCAAATTCATATGAACGTTTTAGAAGTATCATGATGACTTGTTTGAGAAACCTAAGGGAAAATTGAGAAATAACATCAAAGAATAACGATACAAAGTACGTGTGTGATACATTGATGCGCTCTGTCTTACCTTTCCCAAGATTATCCGAGCCCATATCCTTTTCAAAATCATCAATAGCGGCTCCAAGAGAGTAAATAGCCACTGATAATATCATCAATTCTATCGGATATAACATAGCTCTTGTTCTGTTTGGATAAACAACAGCAATGACAACAAAAGTAACAAAACATTATCATTAATTCGAATATCTTGTGGAAAGACTCCTCTATATGTTAGGTTGTCAATATTACTTTATATGGAAAACATTTTAGCTATGTTTGTTGGTAAAGTGTTGTCTTAGGCAGGCTCGAGAAAGTTGATGCTTCAACTGTTTCCCGCGACTTGAGCATCACCGGGATGTTCAACCTTGTGTATTTTGGGAAATGTCTCCGCCCACTGTAGGCTGTAGACCAATAACATTGCGCCATTGACACCAACAGAATGTACATCTTCACCCATCCAAGTCCAACACCCCTCCGATACTGTAAATGGATAAACATCAACTGGTCATTGTCTGCTTATTCCATAAACGAAACATCTTCCAGCTATTACACATATTGAAGCACGTTTGTTTCATATACTTTTTTTAATTCAAGGGACTTGGTTGCATACAAAATGTAAACGTAGAAACAACTGCAGAATTCAAAGTCTGGCCAATAAACATAATCAGGCAACAAACAACTCACTTTCAAGTCCCAAATAATGTTCCAGCTCTGTTGCATGGCTGGAACTATCAACATTGTTCAATACTGTTTTTATATAAAGTTTTTTTCAACAAACCCCACAGTTGATATCAAAGATCAAGAAACATTAACAAGAAATGAACAGATGGTATCAAAAAAGTACTAAGATTTACATGCACATACATTGTCAGAACATGCAAACATTATTTTCTCCAGAAGCCACATGTACACTGCAGTTGGTATGCAGAACGAGAAATAGGAACAGTTCAGTGTTTGGCAACCAACTGTTAGAGACTAGGGTGTGGATATGTTTCTTTTTAAATAAATAATACAGAGGCCACAGAGATGAAGGAAGAGACTGATAGTATATGTATGTTTTTGACCCACTATGGAAACATGTCAAGGGGAAGTCAATTCATGTATCTGTACAAGAATGTGGAGAATTTGCTCCCTTCTCATACAAAAACAAAACCATTACAGTTTATTAAATGTTTATGAACACCCTCCTCTGACGCGATCACCTAACATGGAACAGATAGAAATAACCATAACATTGTTTACTTCCTTTTTAAGACACAGGTTACCTATTGACATCGTCAAAGTGGGCAAATTGTATGCATGCAATATATAAAGTTGCTGTATTTCCAAATATTTTATTAATTTCCGCTTTACTTGTTGTGCCATTATTCATTTTTAAATACATTTTTATAATTTTGTAAAAACATTTTATATAAAAGATTTGGTCACAATCATGCTGAAGCCTGAATCTGGAGATCTCAGCATGTAAAGCTACAGAATGGATGTATATGACCTTAGTGTCTTGTTGCATAGCCCTACTTTCCCTGTCGTCAAAACCCTGCTTCTGGGAAATATGCAGTACAGAACCCTGACGAGTGTGTGGTCATGGCAACACCTGGTCCCACCTAATGTGTCTCCGCTACTATCAATAATTGAGCAAAACCTTCACTGGAGTAGAGCATCCTTTATACAGCACACCTTGATACATTCCACACCCAATGTACTGTAGAATAGAAAAGAGCAGAAGCTCTTAGCTATCCAAGAATTAGATCATCCATCCCAGGGCATCATATTGTATTACTATCCATATAGAATATCTGAAGCTTTTTAGAGGCAGATGTGAACCATCAACATCAGCGGTTACCATGGCTGGGTAGATAGAAAGAACCAGATTTATATTATGATCTGACAGCTGTGAAATTCTCTCCTTCAAAATGGAAGCAGAGATCGGAGGGCAGATCTTGGTCACATGGGTCCGAGCCAATGGGGAGACTTAAACCTTAACACAGAGGGGTCTGAGCCAATTGAGAGACACAGAGGGGTCTGGTGTGCTGGTGCTAGGGCACTCAGCACCACTTAGCACACTCTCTCATCAGGGATCTGTATTCATCTTTGCTTCTCAAGCGCAAAAAGTGCACACTGTTTGTTTATCATCAGATTCTTTGTGTTCTTTACTAAGTCTGCAGTTATAACATTGAAACAGAAGGCAATACAATAGCTTGCAATGCTATCGCAGTTGAGTATCCTCACCAGGAAAATAAATATACACTACTACATCTTTATAACTGGTGTCAACCAGGTTTATGATTTAAACATGCAGTTGTGTTCCTCTGATTATGTCTTCCTAACTGGATTGATATGCTACGTTTGATAAGTGTTCATGATATATGCTTTTGCACTAGCTTTCGTTGTCCCCCCTCAAATTGATGAAATATATTACCATATATATATATTTACCAAAAAGAAAATCATACAAGAAAAATATCAGCAATTATAAGGTAATAATAATAATAGTTTTTTTTTTCTGAAATAAAAGTGCTCGTTTCTCAGATAAGGCTTGCTGTACATCTTGTTCTCCTGCAGAACTACCCAATTGACCAAACCACTACTTGAGTGTTGATGCATTCCAAAAAACGGTTGACTTTGTATCTTTACTACCATATATCTAAAAAGGATAGGCACTTTGTATTAAACATCGGAAGCAGACAGTATGTAAGAAACATTAGACCTGAAACGATGACAAATCTTAAGCAATTTACATAAACAAAGTTGCTTTTACATCATACAAAAAATGCAGACAATGAAAAGATAACATCTACAATAGTTTTATATAAAACAAATTACATTTAATTTCCATTCCTAATTTCTCTCTAGTAGTGTAGTGAAGTTTGATGGTAAACAGCAGCAAATCAACAATCATTGTCTGTAATGACAACATCGATCCCTCTGCTCTATCAGGCTGTATCTTCTGACAGAAAGGGAATGTCATATAATGGATTGGGCAACTGTAAATTCCTTTATATCATCGAATGGTAAGAGTCCCAAAGCAAAGCAATAGCCGTTTAGGATACTTTCAAGTGTGTTTCTTAGCGAGGTTTGAATAAGTATTTCCTAATCATATGTTGTTGCACGTACTTAACAGTGTCTAGGTATTGTCATGGGACTTTCCATTGAGCCTCTCACTCTGCTCATCGCAGAGACAGCAAAGAGGGCTGCTGCTCACCCATCTCTACTGTGTGTACCTGTAGGAGGGTTTCTTATGCCACTATTTCGGTCACTATCAAGACTGAAAAAACTTGGATACGTTTTATTTCAAAATAATTAAGTTTGATAAAGAAGCAAAGCAAAAGTGCCATCAATGAAAAATGCCATTGTCTTCAGTGAATAAGACAAAGACGCCTTACAGTTGGTCGGAGCCAACTAAATTACCAACAATTCACCGAATACACATCCACTTTCATGTTCATCCAGGTCCTAAAAATGCTGCTGCTTTGTTCACATTCAAATGAATTCCAACCTTCCTTGATTTATTTCCCATAATTAGCTTATCGTACAACAACAGTGTAAACTAAAACCTTCAAAAAAGATGATAAAACTCATCACGATTCCTCAAAAATGCATTAAAAACATCTGTTCAAAGCCGTGCTAGCACCATTCATCCTCCTCTGCCTTGTGATAGTACCTGGGTGCCCTGGCACCAGAGCCAGAGCCCAGGCTGGCGTTGGCATTACCACCAAAGGTGAAGTGGTATCCGTTGGGCACCGCACGTCTCTGCTGGGGTGGCGGAGGCAGGTGGATGGCCCCCGGCCGCATCTGAGGCCGTGCAGTCCAAGGGGAGCGTGCTCTGGCAGCATAGGGGCTCAGCAGCTCGTCCCAGAGGCTGCAGTACGGGCTGCCCTGGCCCTGGGGGTCACTGTGACTGTAGCCCAAGAAGGGCTCAGAGCTGATGTGGGTGATGGGGGAGGGGATGTGGGAGGTGCCACTGTGCAGCAGGGCGTTGTGCTCGGACAGCCCACGGCTCAGCCGGCTAGGACTCAGGGTGGGCAGGCCGCTGCCACACTTGGCAGACACAAAGTGCACAGGGGAGGAGTTTGCCGTTTTGAAGGCCACCCTGGGGCGAGGGGTCAGGGGGGTCTGTGGGAGCTGCCTGCGTCCATGGCTGGGTGTGCTAGCCCCTGAGGTCAACATCACTGGGCTGCCTTTAACCAAACCACTACCCTAGATGAAAATTGGAAAAAGCAATTTGAAACGATAAAAAAGATGAGGAGACCGCACAGGAGAGGAGGTGACAGGGGGACAGGGTCACCAGAACGAAGGGAAAGACACCATAATCAGATGGAGAGGAGAGAGAGGGTAGTGGGAAAAGACAGACAAAACAACCAGGAAGGACAGAGAGATGAAAGGAAAGGACAGTCATTGATGGGAGGAAAAAGAGAAGAGAAGAAGACAGACAAAATGGACAGAAAATGGTGAAGAAGACGAAGAAGAAGAAGAAGAAGAAGAAGAAAAGTGGAAAGAGAATTGAAAGGCCATGAGTGGTTGCACTAAAGGGCAGAAAGAAGAGAAAGTTGAGTTTCAGCAAGAGACAGAAACAGAGAGCAGACAGATCATCACTAAGAGAGTTGCACACAATATACACTGTGCTGTACTAAATCAGACAGACATAAACTTACTGATAATGTCTAGTGTGTTTATTATTCTGATTCTCATTCAGTCATTGCATACCCTGATTCCTTTCCATGCCCTGCCCATATCATACCATGGCTATACCCTGGCATGCTTTTGTCATGCCCCACCCTGCCAGACCGATACTGTTTCCTGCCCTGTCCATATCCTATCCTACTCTGCCCATGCCCTCCCACCTGCTTGTTGATGCTGGGTTCCTGCACCTCGCTGGGGGAAGTGGCACAGCTGGTGGTGGCAGACTTGGTGGTGTTGCAGTGTTCCCTGCTGCTGTAGCGATCGCAGGAGTAGTAGCGCTGCTTCTCCCCCACCGTCGAGTGGTGCTTCCTCTCATGGGAGCGGCCGCGGTCCTGCACCCTGTCTCTAGACGAGGGCTCTGCAGCCGGTTCTTCTTGTGTACCTTAGTAAAAATACAAACCAGGGTTAGCGTTAGGCCAGGGTTAAGATTGAACCGGGATGTTGACATGAAGCTAGAGTTAGGATTAGAGTTGAGACTAGGGTTGAACCGTGATGTGGACATAAAGCTAGAGTTAGGATTAGAGTTGAGACTAGGGTTGAACCGTGATGTGGACATAAAGCTAGAGTTAGGATTAGAGTTGAGACTAGGGTTGAACCGTGATGTGGACATAAAGCTAGAGTTAGGATTAGAGTTGAGACTAGGGTTGAACCGTGATGTGGACATAAAGCTAGAGTTAGGATTAGAGTTGAGACTAGGGTTGAACCGTGATGTGGACATAAAGCTAGAGTTAGGATTAGAGTTGAGACTAGGGTTGAACCGTGATGTGGACATAAAGCTAGAGTTAGGATTAGAGTTGAGACTAGGGTTGAACCGTGATGTGGACATAAAGCTAGAGTTAGATGTGGGTTGGATGTGGTCAGCCCTAGCCCAAACCTTATCTTAGCATTACCCTGACCATAATCTTGGCATAAATTTACCCCAATCTTGGCATAATCCTAACTCTAACCCTAGCCTATGTTCAAACCTGGCCTCAACCTAACCCTAACTCCCCCTCCACCTCTGAATTCCCCCCTTCACCTCTGAATTCCCAATTCAACCCCTGATTGCACCCAGTCTTTACCTCACTCTGAAACAGAAGATTCTTAAAAACGTGCAAAGGACAGACTACTAGCACACCGAAGGCTTTTCTTCCCAAAAAATATCCTCTCCTCAGCATTGCCCTGCTGAGACAAGAGGTGCCCATAAATTAGCAGGTCATTGGGTAGCCTTTGGTCTGTCAGTCCCTTTTATCTGTGTAATAAAGATCAGCTGCAGAGCTCCACTGTAACACCCAGGCCTGAACGATGCCTCCATGGAGCCCAGAGCGCATCTCTATAACAGATGAGCCCCAGCCAGCTGGGCTGTGGTCTGCTTCTCACCCTCTGACTGGATGGAAGGCAATAAGGCAGAGAGGGCTATACATTCAGACTCTAGTGACACCAGGGGACAGTGAGCTGCAGGACTGTATGGTTAAACACCCACATTTTGTAATCAGGGTAATGGTGGGTCGGCACTCATATAACATATGACACCCTGTAACTTTAATGAAAAAGAGATCCCTGTAATTCCACATTGAAAACATGATGTGTTTATAGTGTGTATCTGTGCACTAACCAGCGGTGCTTGGCGTCCTGTCCAGTGACCGCTGCTTCTTGTCCCTCTCTCGGCGGTGGTGGTGGCAGCGGTGGTGGTGGTGGTGTTGAGGCCTTTCTTGGGTGCTGGGCCTCTCCAGGGTGAAGTCACGCAGATTCACCTCCTGGGGGCGCTGGGGGGCGTGGGTGGACGCAGAGCGCTTCATTGGGCTGCAGGCAGGAACAGGCTGTGTGGGACAAATAGGAATAGGGGGGTGTAGGGATCACTGACTAGTCCATGGGAACTAGGGATCACTGACTAGTCCATGGGAACTAGGGATCACTGACTAGTCCATGGGAACTAGGGATCACTGACTAGTCCATGGGAACTAGGGATCACTGACTAGTCCATGGGAACTAGGGATCACTGACTAGTCCATGGGAACTAGGGATCACTGACTAGTCCATAGGAACTAGGGATCACTGACTAGTCCATGGGAACTAGGGATCACTGACTAGTCCATGGAAACTAGGGATCACTGACTAGTCCATGAGGAATAGGGATCACTGACTAGTCCATGGGAACTAGGGATCACTGACTAGTCCATGGAAACTAGGAATCACTGACTAGTCCATGGTGGAATAGGGATTACAGTAAGCCCGTCCTCCTATAGCTCCTCCTACCAGCCTCCTCTGGTGTACTGTACACCTCTCTGACTCCATTGTGAAACACCATTTATATCCTGCAGAGCCTTGCTGCAAAATATACTATTCACATTTTCAGTGTCCTCAAAAACAGAGCAACCTACCTAGATTGCTGTTGGTAAAATCATAGACACTGCTACCAATTTCCCTGAGTCTTAGATGGCTGCTTGAGGAAAAGAGCATCAAAGAGGAAACTGAGGCTATGTTTCCACCTGTAGCAGCAGACCGTTCTCTCTCCAAAACAGCTCCATCTGATCACTAGTTTACTACTGACAAACTCCATAGGCTTGGTATCTAAGAGCAGCTTGGCATCAGCAGCTGTGTTTTAATGAGTGTTGTACAGTCCCCATAGAATGATCAAAGGAAGAGTCTCTTCCACGAGACACTGTACTTGGCTAGACCTTTGATTTACAGTTTCACAGTGAGCTTAACTCTCATCCTAAAATCACACAGTATATCCCCCACATTGTATATGATAGAACAAAAAACATGTAGACTGGGTTGTTAATGTTCTACCTGGTGTCAAACACTGACAATACTGTACAATCATATGCTTGCAGAACCTAGCATTTTACACACCTGCGCGGCCAGTTAATACGAAATATAATCTAGTTTGACACATACTAGTACATTGGGATCAACAAACAGAGTAGAGCTGGTGCAGAGGAGATAATGAGGGAGAGGAGACAGGGCTACATACAGCCAGCAGGGTCCCCGGGGAGTGACGCGACTTGCTCCTCTGTCACACAGCAGAGGAGGAGGAGGAGGAAGAGGACCATGGGAAAGCATCAGGCCAGAGAGACAGGAGAAAAGAGGAGGGTAGACTGAGAGAGGTGACATTGAACAGTTAGGAGAAGAATAGAGGAGAAGTAGCAGGACAATTACAGAGGTGTCTTAACATGGTGATTAAAAATAAATGATCTGCTTGTAAATATGACATGATTATGTTTAAATGGCCACTGAGGGCATTTGCCTTTCAGTATACTCTTTTTAAAGGAAGGTAAATATGTGATATCTCATTGTGTGTTTCAGCACCTGGCAATAAGACATAATTACCCATTCCAAGCAGACAGAACTCCCCCATGTCTCTATGTCTTTTGACACTCAATGCCCCCTTCACCATTAATACTAAGATATCTTAGAAAACATATCTGGCTATTTAGCTTTTGTTCTAGTGAGCCAAGCTTCTGAACTGGCAGAGAGCCAGGTGGGGCAAGTCTATGGGCCAGAGCTGCCCCTAGGGAATCAAAAGGGTTTCATACATATTAAAAGGTGCTGAAACCACTAAATCAACAAGTACTGCCTCTTATCATCCAGCACTCTAGTTTAAAGGGATTTGGGCTTAGCTTCTCACTGGGCTTCTTTGAGAATGAAACAAGGGGCATTTTCCCTCTCCGAGAGGCTTCATGTGAGGGTTCATGTCTACCCTGGGTGTCACATGTCACTAGTGCACAAAGAGGATGTTGAGGAGGTGGAGGCATGCTGTGAGATTTACAGCCCTGATCGTGCTGGCATCGCCAGGGAGAGAGAAATGAGGCATTGCCCCAAAAAGGAAGGGAACAAATCTAATTAAGCCATGGAAAACCAAGCCGGAGACCAAGTCTGTTTCAGGGTAGAGTTCAGGCTACATGCCTCCCCATTTCACTCTAACAATAGCAAGCAATCTCAGAAAGGCCATCTCTAATTGTATTTGATGAAGGATTTCCTGCCCTCGTTAGAAAAGGTGAGAAAAATTAGACAGCAAGTCACGAGGCAATCCTCTTCTCCTCTCATTCCATTTATCCCCCTCTTCACATTGTCTATCCTTAGTAACATGATTACTCTCTTCCTCCCTGAACGCATGAGGGATGAACACTCTGATTTTCTACACCCATCCATTTCGAGCCACTATCATTTATTTTTTTATTCTTCTGTTCGCAGCAAAGGAAAAACGATACGGGACAAGCAGTTGGCGGTCTGCCAGGCTCTAATCAAATTATCCAGGACTTCTTCTGTGCACTAAAAGTAGGATCAACACACATTCATTTTAACCTGAAAGGAATGCACTTAAACACAACAATCGATTAACATCAATATCACTCAGGAAATTAGGAGCTGATTATATTTCATTGGACGAATAGAAGGAATCTTTTATATTTTTTTTAGCAGTTATACTGCAGCAATATTAGATGAGATAGCCACCTGACCATAGTAATCTGCCCGCAGTATAGCCACTGATGCGAAACACCACGCAACCATGCTTTCTCCAAGAGAGTTTAGTTATGGCATGGAGCATCTGCTTCACAAATTATGTGTGTGTGTGTTAGGGTGTGTCTGTACCTTCAGCTCTGCGTTGAGGCGGGGCATGGACACAGCTCTCCCCTGGCTCTCCAGTCCAGACCCAGGACCAGGTACTGTGCTGCCACTGGTGTCCATCTTCCTCATCTCCACTGACTCCTGAGGGACATAACACACACATACGTACACAAAAACATGAATGCATGCACGCACACACACAGATAAGTGCTTGCATAGAGATAAGTACATCCAGTCAAGTAAAGTACTGCGAACAGATACATCAGGAGAAAAAATGCAGGTAGCATGCCATGATGTTCATGTGTGTGTATTAAAGCAGAGGGCAGTCTGGCCTGGCTACAGTACCTGGGGAATGGTTATGTTTGGGACATCCTCAGACTGGCCCCTTTGGACAGTTCTCTTACTCCTGGGTCTGTGGACCTCTCTAGACTTCTCTGACACCCAGGAGGACGATCCTTTCATGGTGCCATCATGGCCTGGCCTGAATTATTAGACATAAACAAATGTAGATGTTATTGTCATTCTATTATAATATTTTTTTTGCCAGGATAGTCCACTCCACTCAGTAACATTTGCCACTGTTTTCCAGGAAGTCCGGTCATAGAACTTTCATATGATTGTTTTAAAGTTAAAGCTTTAAAATTATAAAGTATTATAGTGTTTTACCCCAAGACAAGAGCGACATTGCCACTGGCTGTATGTTAGTGAACTCACAGTGTGCCTCCATTATTGAGCAGGGTGGAGCTGGGTCTAGGTGTAGGTAGGGCCTGAGACTGGGGCTGAGGCAGTAGCTCACAGGGAGGCTCCACGTTGGTCATGGCCTTCTCCTTCACTTTCTCCTGCTTGTGAGTCAGGGGCAGTATCGGTTTAAACAGAGCCCCCACCTTCCCCTGTGGATGAAAGACGGCAAGATGCTGATATACTGAACATACTGCACAATATTGATCCAGGGCTCTACCTCTAAAATATAGTAAATCAAAACTTGGAAATTTGAATCAACATATTGGTTTTGGCAGAAAATGTTTAAAACATTTTCATGGGGGGGGGGGATTTGTGACTCCTGGGTATCAGCAATAATGTGTGTGTGTGTGTGTGTGTGTTACCTGGGAGCCAGTAGCATTCTGTTGCTGCTGCTGTTGTTGCTGTTCCTTGAGCCTCTTGGCTCGGTTCTGCTTGTAGTAGTCAAAGATCATCAGGGCTGCATACACCTTCCCAACAGTAAGCTCATTGGCTGAGAGAGGGACAGAGGGGAGTGGGTGACGAAAACTGCTGTCTCATCCATCTCTATTGGTCTCATCCAGACCCTCTGATGCCACTTAATCTCCAATACAATGCAGTCAACCCAAAGGTATCACTTGCAACAAAGAGTGATTTAGCTGTTTGAAGAAAATTGGTGCATGCCAGGCTTGAGAGAAGGAGCATCTGTCTAAAATACCATTGTTCTCAGGTGAGATACTTAGATCCTGCCACAAGATGTCAGTGGAGGCAAAGCCAACTACTGGAATCTTAACTGATGGCCAAGTAAGAGCAAGGGTTCTGGTTGTTATGGCAACCTATGTGTAATGTTGTTTCAGAGTGAGGAGTCTGGGGCTTGCCACTTTAAGATGTAGCATGAAAAGATACACACATACTCCAAGTATCCTTCTTGTAAAGATTAACTATATCAGTGACAAGGACAAGGATCAGTGAAAAGAATCCGAGAGAACTGCCATGCAGAGGTGCTTACGTTTGTGTGGTGTCACCAACAGATCCATAGTCTTCTGTGAGAGACTTGGCCAAACCTGGGTGAGCTCTTTCTTCAGTTCAGCATCAGAGAGACGCTGGGCAACCATCCCTGATGAGAAGATCACAAGAGAAAATAGAATATTCTAGCATCAAATACACACAATGATCTATTTCAAGAAGTATAGCAACAAGCAACAAACACAGGAAAGTAAACATGAGTTTTCAGAGTCATTGTGGAGGTGAAGCAGACAGAGAATAGAGAATAGCTCAGTGAGCAGTGAAGCTAGAGAAAAGCATAATGTACTGTGCCATCCTTCACTCTGCAGTACAGGCCCTAAACACAAAGCCCACCACAGAGTAGCCTAATGAGACCAAATGGGACCCATATCTACTAATGCAAACCCCTCTGTAAGCAACAAACAAGCAGCATCTGCACCTGCTACACATCCAGGGGACATAACAACGTCTGTCTGTCTGTTTGTCTGTCTGGGAAGACAACATGTGACGGATAGCTACATCTAACATTTACAACTAGTGTTTTTTGCTTTTGCTTGAGTTCGAATGCATTGTCTCTAATCAAGTTGGCCTCATTAAAAGTAAGGATAGATTTCAGAGGCACAGTATGCACCACTCCTATCATGTATCACACACTCCAAGGGTGTGTTGGACAGTGGAATTTTAGCAGACGCCCAGCAACTGAGAGGGCAGGGATAGGGAGGGAGAAAAGAGAGGGGTGAGTGGACAGGGAAGAGGGGCAGAGGAAAGGAGAGATAGAAGAGAGGGATGAGTTGACAGGGAAGAGGGGGCAGAGGATAGGGTGAGAGAGAGGGGAAGATAATAGGGAGAGAGAGGGGACAGGGGGAGAGGGACAGGGGGGGGGGAGAGAGGGGGACAGGGGAAGGGAGAGGATAAGAGAGAGAGGGGAAGAGGGGAAGGTGGAAGAAGGGGACAGGGGTGAGGGGAGGGGAAGAGGGGGGCAGGGAGAAGGGGGGGGGAGGGGAGAGGGGAAAGGGGAGGGGAAAGGGGAGGGGAGGGGAAGAGGGGAGGGGACAGGGGGGAGAGAGGGGAAAGGGAGGACAGGGAGAGTGAGGGGGGAGAGAGGGGACAGAGGGGACAGGGGAAAGGGAGGAGGAGGGGAAGAGAGGGAGGGGACAGGGGAGGGAAAGGGGAGAGGGAGGAGAGGGAGGAGAGAGAGGGGAACAGGGGGAGGGGAGAGGGGAGGGGAAGAGGAGGAGGGGGACAGGGGAGAGGGAGAGAGAGGGGGACAGGGGGGGGAGAGAGGGGAGCGGAGAGGGGGGGGGACAGGGGAGAGGGAGGAGAGGGGAAAGGGGTGAGTGGAGGAGAGAGGGGACAGGGGAGGGGGACAGGGGAGAGGGAGAGATAGGGGACAGGGGTGGGGAGAGAGAGGGGACAGGTGAGGGGGACAGGGGAGAGGGAGAGAGAGGGGGACGGGGGGACAGAGGAGGGGTAAAAGGATAGGGAGAGAGGGACAGGGGAGAGGGAGAGAGAGGGGACGGGGGTAGAGGTCAGAGGATAGGGAGCGAGAGGGGACAAGGGAGAGGGCTGAGGATAGGGAGAGAGAGGGGACAGAGCAGTCTCACCTGAGGCCAGTTTGATCTCCAGGGCCGTCCGGATCAGGGCCATGAGAGTAGAGGTGAAGTGAACTGTGTTGTCATCAGCGATGGGCATGTTCATCTTGACTAGCCGCTGGAGAGAGTGTGTGGACGGAGGTTAGAACACACTTTTACTGTTTAACACTTCATCCAGACCATTGACCAGTCAGGAGAAACCAGTCTGTGTGCTGCTGGTAATATTCACAGAGGACTCATGTACAGTATATTGAGTGCTTTACCTGCTTTTATTTCAACAATACAATAAGATGTGATTGTTTGTTCTTCAGATTTATTCTTGTAAATGAATCATTTGGAAGGTTTTAGGATTTTTTGTGGATAATTTTGCTACAGCACACAAAAAGCTTTCTCAACTAGTACAACGAGGATGCAAAGTAAACATTCACTGCTATTGGCTACAGTATGCACCATGCTGCAGGTCAAAGTGCACCAGTGCAAGACTGACATTGATCGAAATAATGGTGAGAAAAGGCATGTACGCATAACCATGGAAGTGCCTCAAAGATCTCAGGAGCTCGACTCTGTGGTTGCCTCCTAACAATCTTAAACTGAGTTAAAAAATAATCAGTTCTGCTCATGTCAATAACATCTTGAGGACTAAGACCGAGCAAAAAAAATAAAAAAAATAACCTGAACTGCTTATCAAAGGGATGATAACTACACCACTACATGCATATTTAACACTATGTTTGATATTTAAGTTATTGTGGTAGAGTTGAGCTCCCATGAACACAAAAAGCATTCACCTACGATCAGAGGGAGTGCAAAAGTAAGGCTGACCCAAGTCAGAATGAGAGAGGAGAGGAGGGGAGGGGAGGGGAGGGGTGAGACAAACACCCCTACCCACACATGGGAACACTCATCAATAGAGAGAAAGTAGACATGAAAGACAGGATGAGAGAGAATGAGAGATAGGATCAGAGAGGGTAAAACACACACAGAAGCGACACACACTGGCAAGACAAAAACCCTCAGTAGGCACACAACTCAGGGGATTGACTAAAATAAGATAAAGGAGAGGGAGAGCAATACTAAACCCCTTTCCTATAAGACTGTATATTGATTGATACATGATTTAAATTGTCTGGGGACAGTGCTGGATTGGTCTAATATGACTTTTTGTATGCGTTGTAAAATAACATATAAATATTATTCCAATTATTAATCTGTGCATGTCTGCTGTGTTGGATGTATTAAATGACAGAGAATGGATTATATGAAATCATATGATGTATTCATTATCCATATTTTAGGAGTTTAACACCTACTACCGTAAATGTAACTAAATGCTTAGTAACAAGCTTTCAGATAGTGTGGATACTGTATGTATCTCAGGGTCTACTGTTTCTCTCTGCCTTTAGTGGACATCACCACACCAGCTGAGCTTGCTCCAAAGAAAGTAGCTATGCCCAAAGAAAGAGGGGGAGGGAGGTGGCTACACGAAAAAGATCAGAGCAGTAGCAAAACAAACAAAATAAACAAGAGAACGCTGCAGAGCACAGAGATTGGCTGGAGGTTAAGCCAATGGGAAGACAGGTCAAGCAGAGTGAGTGGCTACCTTGTAGGCGACTCTTGGCGGACATTTCTTTCCCAAACCTAAGGGTGGGGACATGTGGAGGAGTATCTGATACATATCGAGGTACTTGATACGGCCACTTCACAGAGTAGGAAACAAAAAGCCAAATAGAGAAGGATGGGGAAGTTAGACAAGGAGGAGAGGAACAAAAGGGAATAAATAAATCAATAAAAAATAAAACAAAATGAAAAGGAAAAAACAAAAGCAGAAATCTGTGTTATTTAGATTTCCAGTAGTGACATGGAGATGGATGCCATCTTTGGCCACAGTGGACCAGGGATGCATCGGTACGGTGGTAAACTCAGCTCAGGAAGAAGTGAGCTGCTCAGATCCCTGAGGGGAGACATGGGATGGAAGTGAGTCTGTAGTGAGAAGCAGAACACACAGGATGCTAATGGGGAGAGAATGACAGCATCGTACGTAGTGAGGATGTCTGCTTCTGCATGCTGAGAGACATCCAGGGGGAGGGGGTTCACCAGGAGCACGGAAACAAAGGTTTCAATGCCAGAATTAATTAAAGCCTTCCCTTCTCTTTACAATGTTTACATCTAGCGTTTGGGCCTAAACATCAGTGTTTAATCTAACTGTACAAAGATAGAAGACGGACCAGGTACAGACCAGAATGTATTCACTTTATACCTCGACCCACCATATAGAAAGTAGTCATTGCATAGGGATTCCAATGTCAGGCAAAGTTGGGGCTTTGAAAGCTTTGTTTCCTGTCCGACATCATTAACCAAAGCCAGTCAGTCTGGAAGGGCGGGTGCTAGTGTGTAGGCGAGTCATTGGTGCACAGCCATTCAGTTACGTCTCTTGGCATAGGTACACAAAGCACCCTAGTGGAGGAAATGTTCTGGGGTTGCAAACCTTGTATGCTACCCTATTAGGGCAGTTCTTCCCTAAGCCAAGGGGGGGTGAGATAATTCGTAACAAGTTGTACATATCGTTATAGCGAATCCGTCCGCTGCAAAAAGAACAAGCAGATATAGAAACAACAACTTCAGGACAGCTTCAAGACAACAATGATAATCAGAGGGCTGATTGGGTACTAGGAGGTATGCTACCATACCATCTACATAGATGATTGTCAGAAAGCCACAAAGTGTCAGGCAGTGTCAGTCAGTCCCCTCCATACTAGCAGCAGTAATACTAGATTCCATTCTGACTGGGTGAGATAAAGTAGGTGCCCCAGCCAGATGGAGGAAGGGAGAGAAATAGGGAGGGAGGGAGGGAAATAGGGAGGGAGGGAAATAGGGAGGGAGGGAGGGAAATAGGAAGGGAAATAGGAAGGGAAATAGGGAGGGAGGGAAATAGGGAGGGAAATAGGGAGGGAGGGAGGGAAATAGGGAGGGAGGGAGAGAAATAGGGAGGGAGGGAGGGAAATAGGGAGGGAGGGAGGGAAATAGGGAGGGAGGGAGGGAGGGAGGGAGGGAGGGAGGGAGGGAGGGAGGAAGAGGGAGGGAGGGAAATAGGGAGGGAGGAAATAGGGAGGGAGGGAAATAGGGAGGGAGGGAAGGGAGGGAGGGAGGGAGGGAGGGAGGGAGGGAGGGAGGGAGGGAGAGAAAGAGGGAGGGATGGGGACACATACCAGGCAGCAGGGTCGTACTCAGCCCAAACACGGATGAACTCATCCAGATGATGAGGCCCCAGTATAGACGAGTCTCGAGTCAGGTATTCAAAGTTATCCATGATCACAGCCACAAACAGATTAAGCATCTGGAAGAGAGGTTTAACAAGGACTTATGGGAATAGACGCAGTATGACAGCACAATAGACAGCGAAATAGTTTTGCACAACATTAGGTAACTACTAATCCTACGTTTCAGATCATTGCCTAAAGTTAACATCACTTATTCCAGACTGCACATCAGTGGAGGCTGCTGAGGGAAGGATGGCTCATAATAATGGCTGGATCTGAGTAAATGGAAACCATGTGTTTGATGTATTTGATACCATTCCACCCATTCCGCTCCAGTCATTACCACGAGCACGTCCTCCCCAATGAAGGTGCCACCAACGTCCTGTGCCGCACATCAACACAAATCTAACGGTTATGTGTGTATGTTGGATGACATCAGTACTGACCAGGAAGGAGCAGAGGAAGATGAAGGAGACAAAGTAGAAATAGGCGAAGTCGCTGCCACACTCCTTCTCCAGGTTGCCTGACCTCTCATCACAGGCTCTGTGACTCAAACACGACAGCATGATCTCATGCCACGCCTCCCCCGTGGCACTCCTGGAGAACACAGGGGTGGACAGACAGACAGACAGAAAAACAGCAGACAGACAGACAGACAGACAGCGAACAGACAGTGGACAGACAGATAGACAGACAGACAGACAGACAGACAGACAGGCAGGCAGGCAGACAGACAGACAGACAGACAGACAGACAGACAGACAGACAGACAGACAGACAGACAGACAGACAGACAGACAGACAGACAGACAGACAGACAGACAGACAGACAGACAGACAGACAGACAGACAGACAGACAGACAGACAGACAGACAGACAGCCAGCCAGCCAGGGGACAGACAGCGAACAGACAGTGGACAGACAGACAGCGAACAGACAGACAGACAGACAGACATAGTGACATACAGTAAAAGAAAGATACCTTTTGAGTCATTTTGGAAGATGTTCACAGTGTACTAAAACATGTTCCCAGTTCCTAGTTCCTGTTCCAACTATGGTGGAGGATCCTTCAGAGTAGCAATTCAAACTGCATGCTCACTCTGCTGCTTGGCAGAACAGAGAAGAGGCCAGAGCAGGGTGGCTGTTCAAATGATCTCTGTGTTTCCTGGAGTTTGTTGACTAATATAAACCTATCATGATGATCTGGACTGGAGTGCCCTGAGAGAACAAAGGGATGCTGTGGCAGAGTGGGAGAGGAGGACACAAGACCACTTTAATTTCCAGGCAGCACTACCCAGAAGACGTGTAACCTGGGGGGGGGGGGGTGCCTGGCACAGTACAGTACGCACAGCCCACTCTGCTGCATGCCCCAATTACAAGAGAATACATACCAACCCTGGCTTACAGTTACAGGAGAGGGAGAGGAGAGGAGAGGAGAGGAGAGGAGAGGAGAGGAGAGGAGAGGAGAGGAGAGGAGAGGAGAGGAGAGGAGAGGAGAGGAGAGGAGAGGAGAGGAGAGGAGAGGAGAGGAGAGGAGAGGAGAGGAGAGGAGAGGAGAGGAGAGGAGAGGAGAGGAGAGGAGAGGAGAGGAGAGGAGAGGAGAGGAGAGGAGAGGAGAGGAGAGGAGAGGAGAGGGAGAGGGAGAGGGAGAGGGAGAGGGAGAGGGAGAGGGAGGAATAGGGACAGGGTCATTTAATAATGTTGGGTGCTTCCTAAAGCAGAGGAAGGAGTAACTAAGGAATTGTGTATATACCTGAACAGTAGCATGAGAGCCTGGAGAAAAGTGCGGAAGTTGTTGTGGTGAGTGATGGCTGTGTCCTCGTTGAGCTCAATGTTTCCAAACACCTGGAAAAGTAAGAGATTGATCATACCCACTGATCATGACAGTAAATGCATTACATTCCATAACAATTTTCTTATTCAATAAAAAACACAATTTCACACCATTAGTCTGTAGGCATGTATAATCCAATTATTTTGAGGGAACATTTGAGGAGATAATGGAAGCAGCACCCACCTGCATACCGATGATTGCATAGATGAAGAACAGCATTGCTATCAGAAGGCAAACATAGGGCAGGGCCTGGAAGTAGAGGATGTTTTAGGGTTGAGTGGGTGGGACCATTAGGGCCATGGCAGTGGGTGAGGTGTGTGTGTGTGTGGGTGGGTATGTGTGTGTGTGTTTGTCTTTGTGTGCACGTGTATGTGTTGTGTGCGTGCCTGCGTGCCTGCGTGCGTGCGTGCAGGTGTTTGTGTGTGTGTCACCTTAAAGGACTGGACGAAGGTCCACAGCAGGATACGGATGGTGTAGCCCTGCCTCAGTAGCTTGATGAGACGAGCTGCTCTGAACAGCCTCAGAAAACTCAGGTTCAAAAGCCGGTCCTGTGGGGCCAGGAGACAAAAACAGTCAACACTACAGCCCATTCATTGGAGGCATTCAAAATATGACCCCAAATCACTACATAATGACAATGATGCAGATTAAACAACATGATTGTATTTGGTTGGTCCAGGTTTAGCTTGCTAAAGGAGGCCAAACAATACATCCATTCAAACCTGTAGACACAGTGCTGTAGATCATCAAATCAAATCGTATTTGCCACATGCGCCGAATACAACAGGTGTAGACATTACCGTGAAATGCTTACTTACAGCCCTTAACCAACAATGCAAAAAGTAAAATAAAACAACAACAACAAAAAAGTGTTGAGAAAAAAAGAGCAGAAGAATGGAAGGAGAAAGAGCAATGGGACAGGAAGAGGGTAGTCACTCACCGTTGTCTATAAGAGCAGTTGTTTAGCCGTAGCAGATGGTGGGCACATCAGTGAAGACATTCAACAAGAGGACAATGCGGAGAGGGCGACAGGGAGAGGGAGAGGGGGAGAGGGAGAGGGAGAGGGAGAGAGGGAGAGAGGGAGAGAGAGAGAGAGGAGAGAGAGAGAGAGAGAGAGAGAGAGGAGAGAGAGAGAGAGAGAGAGAGAGAGAGGAGAGAGAGAGAGAGAGAGAGAGACATAAAGAAAGCCTGTCAGCTCAAAACACACACTTAAATCAGTCAGAGCATTGGACAATGATACAGACATCTGGACAGATACTGTAGGATACTGGACAGATACAGATACTGTATTACTAGGAGAACATTAAAAAACAAGTACTACAGGGACTGAGAGAAACATGTTGAATGATTCACATATAATTACTAGGAGATGGTAATAATGATACACACACACCCATGCACACGCACACACAAATCCTATTCCCTGTTGCATTCAGCTGAACTGCCTCACGTTCTCACTCAGAGCCCATATCAGGCATCAGTGAAGAATCAATAATGTTAACATGTAGCTCTGTTCACAAACTCTCTCTCTCCCCCTCTGGGCCCGAGCCAAGCCATCTTTGCTGAGACGGCTATTCAGCACATCAGGCCAAGCCCACTCTGTATACACAAACTGCCTATACAGCCTTATGTCTCTGCATGTCACTAAACTCCCAGTACTCTGCCTTATTAACCTTTTACTGCAGTGGGCAAAATCAGGGTCACACAGAGTGTTTCTTGGTAGTCTTAAACAAATCTACTTTGAAACAAAAGTATACACTTCACACAAATGGTTATGGGCTTAAAAACATAAGACACCATGTCAGATATAGAGTTGACATTTATTCAGTTTTGAGTTTGGATCCCAATATTATACTTTATATACACCACAGAATACTAAAATATAGACATAGAAACTCCGGATTTTCTGCGTTTAATAAATCATGTTTATTAATTATGAAATTATGGAAAATATTAATAACATTCCACCCATGGGGCCACTAGAGGGTGATTTGGTCATTTGACTGCAGGAATGTATTGTAATGTATATCGAGGAAAGTGGAAGAAGCACATTGTGTGCTCTGCTGGACTCTTAGCTTACATTGATTTCTGTGACCACGATGTCAGTTATACTTCCCAGCACCGTCACAAAGTCAAACACGTTCCAGGCATCCTTCAGGTAGTTCTGGAATGAGAGGGATTGAATATCACTCACAAACTCAAGGCATGCAGTGCATGAATTCAATAAACTTCAAATCATTGATAACCTTTGCCATATTGACAGCATGCAGATAAACAGGAAGAACGACAGCAAACCGACCAGCGGACCGAAGGCGATGATCTTCAGAATGCACTCCAGAGAGAAGAGGGCAGTGAAGACGATGTTGAAGTGCTTCAACATGGCCTCGTAGAAGTCTGGAGCTCCATGGAACTGGTGCAGGGTGGGTGAATGAGTGAGTGAGTAGGAGTGAGAGTGAGAGAGAGCGTGTGAGAGAGAGAGAGAGATAGTGAGAGAGCGAGAGAGAGAGAGAGAGACTTGATAAGCAGATAGCTATACCTCCTAAAACACCAACACTGTGTGAGTAGGAGTTTTTCCTGGCCACGCGATCAGACTAGGAAAAAATCCAGGCCCTAGTCATATCCTACTATATTTTATGGTGACTGAGATGGACTGTACCAACCTTCATCATGAGCACCACGGTGTTCAGGGCGATCATGATCATAATGGCGTACTCAAATGGGGGTGACACCACAAACTTCCACATCCGGTACTGGAAGGACTGCACATTCTCTGGCATGTAGCGGGTCAGTGGCTTGGCGTTGATGGCAAAGTCAATGCAGGCCCTCTGAAAAGAATGAGACGGAAATGACATGCATCCAATATTCCCTTTCATAATCGCCATCCATTTCCTCATCATCATGACCATCAGCACAATCATCAGTTGTCAATCCATCACTCTTTCAACCATTGCCTTCATTAGGACCACTGCATCTGTATCATCAACTCAGAAGGAAATACTGTGAAGAAAACAATGAATATCTTACTAGACAGCAAGCAGAGAGTCATGATTCTATCAGAGCCATGTGCAGAGGAGATGTCTGAATCCAGAGGATGGATACATGGCTAGCTCCTCCTGGCTGTGTTCTGGCTCCAGTTAGCCAAGTCAAGTTAGGTTAGCATACAAACAGACACAGGGAGACGTATCTGTTGTGTTAGTTCAGAATAAGGACGGAGGGAGATACTGTATATCTATCTAATAGGGTCCTGGTAGACATGAGGTAGGGGGGATAGGGGATGGCTCGCTGGGTTGGTGTCCACCCGTGTAACCACAGACGGGGCTCCAGAATTAATCGTGGACCTGTGGACCTGTCACACTGGCCCTCACCTGGGAGGCTGTACTGCATCTGTTGCTACTGCAGGATCCACTGCAGCCTCACCGCCTCAACACGCACAACTGAACCCAGCATAAAAAACAACAACAACAGCAGTGAGAGAAAGACTGTACCTGCACTGAGTACTCAGCATTATGTAAGGGTGGTAATATCTACAGAGCATAGTGAGCTTTGGACTGCACAGGGCACTTATGACCAACACATCACAAATGGAGAAAGTATACTTGGAAGAAATATGAATTGTTATTGCTTCAAAGTGAGTTTTTTCCCGTACTCTACCTCATTTTTCTCCAGGCTGCACTCTGACATGGCCTTGTCTCCCTGCTCCTGGAAGGTGATGATGATCAAAGCCACGAAGATGTTGACGAAGAAGAAGGGGAAGACCACGAAGTAGACCACGTAGAAGATGGAGATCTCTATACGGTAGCCTGGACTGGGACCCTGGTCCTCAAAGGTAGCATCCACAGAGTGCTTCAGAACACTGGAGAGGAACACAGGAACCATGCTGTCAATATATGGAACCACTTACCACAACAGTCAACTTTGGTTAAACTGCTGGGACAGTTTATGACTAAAACCTAACTGGAAAATAAACTATTTAAAGTTCTATGTCTAAAATTAGGGACATAGTCAATTAAAAGCCTTTGTTAAAATGTAATAGGCATGTGATTAATGTTCAACGTTGCTGATACAAAGGTTCATTTTCATCAGCCGTGTTAAGATAGTCTTTACAGTAATAACCCATCTGAGAGAGAGAGAGAGCCTGGCCAATTAGCCCTCCAGGTTATGAGGACTGAGGCTTATTTAATGGACTTCTCCCCTGACCTAAAGGACTCACCAGTCCATAATCTTTACATATCATAAATCACTGGATTGTTTAATAACATAGCTAATTCAATGATTTCATTGAGGAGGACAGAGGAGCCGGAATAAGAAAGAGAATTATGCACAGAAGACACTCTCTGGGGTGCTGACCCGACAAGCCGGCACACTGAATGTTTGGCCATTTTAAATGGTGTACATTGTGAAATAAAATAAGCATGTTTTTTTTTTATTATCTTGTTGATTGATGACCACCCAAGAGCATTGTGCATGACTACAACAGAATAATAATATCTCTACCTTAGAACAATCCTTGCTGCTTTGTTCTGGGCAATCTGCAGCCTCTTAATCTCCCTTGCTGATGCATTTCCCCAGACCACAGAACAGTAGATCACCTGACTCCCAATTAATGCTTGGGTTGTTTGCTTAATAATCTTTCACGGTAAATATTTTTCTTTCCTTCTGATCTTGCATGTAGTTTTAATTATTTTCTTACATAGATGAGTTATTTGAGACGACCATGATAAGCTGTTGTCTAGCTGCACCCCTAGTAATTTGGTTTCTGCTTAGATATTATATAAATTACAGACAATTAAAGACAATTACAGAGACTAGCACAGCACATTCTCAGAACATATCCCCAGGGCAGGCTTGTTCACCCTCTACTGTTCTACTGTATGTCTGTCTGTCTGTCAGTCTGTCTGTTTGTCCGTCCGTGTATCTGCCTGAGAGCTACAGCATATTGTCCGAACATATCCCCAGGCCCGTTCACCCGTTCTACTGCCTGTCTGTCTGAGAGCGACCAGTCCACCAGAGACCTCAACTTTACAGAGCTACTCAAAAGGAACCTGGAAAGTGGACTTACTCGGGCCAGCCCTCTCCGGTGGACACAGTGAAGAGAGTGAGGAAGGCCCACAGCACGTTGTCATAGTGGAACTCATACTTCTTCCACACCCGGGGCTGGGCAGCCACCTCATCCTTATCGTAGTCCAGGAAACTACCTCTGTTTAGGGGAGAGAGAGCGAGACGGGACGGGACGGGGACGGGGGGGAGGGGGGGGGGGGGGGGGGGGGGGGAGTGGCGTACAACTTACTGCACAGGAATATGAATACTGAGATACTCTTTTGATTAGACTGACACTGTCCACAAATTAATAAGATCCCCAAACAAAAACACATAATTACTGTAATCATTTTCAAAGCAGCACTGGGCTGTGCTTCTCTCTATTGGGGAAGATAATTGTACACTGGCATAGCGGCATTCAAAGCTGCAAGCCAGAGCCAGGCAGGAGGGGGAGCCCTGCCTAGTGCTGTTACCGTTATTCCATGGTTTGCTCTATCAGACTGTTGGGCCCAGTGCCTTGGTGCCAACGTTGTTCATATGCCTTCTCCTGTTTCATTTCAAAATGCTGTAGACCTACCTGCAGTCCTTCTCCAGTCCCTTAGACTCATCGGTGCAGTAGAAGAACTTTCCCTTGAACAGCTGCACAGCGATGACAGCAAAGATGAACATGAAGAGCATGTAGACAATGAGGATGTTGAAGACGTTCTTCAGGGAGTTGACCACGCAGTCAAACACAGCCTGAGAGAGGACACCCCCCCACACAGAAACATGGGGCTGGATTAGATACTGTACACACTGATGATTATGTCCTGACAACACTCATTAATAAGTCAACAGCAGTGAATACATGTGACTGTAGTGTAGTGTAAGACCCATACGGTACCTTCAGCTTTGGCAGGCGTTTGATGGTCTTGAGGGGCCGTAAGACTCGCAGCACTCTGAGGGACTTGATGGTGCTGATGTCCTTTCCTTTGGACCCTCTGCACAAGAAAAACACTAAATTAGACAACACATCTGTAAGGTCTTCACTCAACTACTAAAACCTGTGAGAAGATAGTTGTATTCATAAATTGCTCAAACAACAATTGCATTACAAAAGAGGCAAACCACTTGTGACAGAAGTCAGTAGATTGTTGATAAATCACTGTTGCTTTTAAATGTTTCATGAATCGTAAGGCTTAGACTAATAAACAGAAAGTGTTTGAAGAATGCTCTCTAGTGGTCTTGACCAAACGTGACTGGAAATATTCATTCTAAAAAAAAGAAATTAGATTTGTAGGAGAACGGTTGGTACTATATTCCCACTACTTTAAATACATTGTATTCAATAGAAGACATTCAGAATGATGGTAGAAAAATACAACGCATAATACATGGGTAAACATTTTTGTCAAAGCTGTAGATGCCCTTGGGACGGTAAATTGTCTGTGACAACCAACACCCAGCCCCAACTGAGAATGGATTAGTAATCTCACATAGGATCATGCCTCTCCAAATCATTCAGATAAGCGTAGCATGTAATCCTGGATTACATGAGCGAATTAGACACTTTCTGGATTTATAGCATTATATCTCAACACATATTTCTCCATGCAAATAACACCAGAAAAGAAATCAAGTAAATACACGCTATAGACTGTGCATCAGGTTTCTGCAGAATAACGCTAATCAGTGATACAAAAGACACAGTGATGTTTCTTTTTAAAGGAACCAATGCTGTTTCATACACACGTCCTCGCTAAGTCGTTAAGATGGGATGGTGATACAGACAGGCGACTGAGGGAGAAGATGACAGGATGTCAGTGAGGAGTATTAAGACTGATGGGGAAATACAGGAACAAGTGATTTAATAGACTTTCTCAGACACAATGGGTGGAAGAACAGAAAATCTTCTGAACCAACGTCAAGAATTCTGAGCAGAATCCCATTAACTCTCCATGTACATTAATGTTCCCTACAGACTCAGAAAATCTCTTGCTGAATCAGCACCTTGGGGAGCTGTGAGAATAGCAATACAAATGCCTCACAATGCAGGCATCTCCAAATGAAATACAATGAAGTGATACATAATATTGCATATTATGTAAAATGAAAAATGAAAAAAATAAAACTAAATATGCACTCACTAACTGTAAATCGCTCTGGATAAGAGAGTCTGCTAAATGATTAAACTGTAAAATGTAAAATGAAGTGATACAACATATTGCATATTATGTAAAATCATGGTGTAAAATCATGTACCAATGTATGGTACAGTACACAAAATGGTAATTGGTTTAAGGTAAAGCATCCCATTGGTGAAACAATTAGGGATTTTAATGACCCCAATAAAGAGTCAACAACTGATAAATAAATTGACACTATCAGTATGTGATACTTCACATCAATACATGTCATATAAATGCTCCTTATCAATATACATTACAGTCAACTTCGATATCATAACACAGGGTAAAATGTTCCACACCAATGTCACTTAATCTCATCTCCATCTCTCTAAATTTGGAGACTGATCTTAAATACAACATTAATTAATCTGTTGTTAAAGTAAATCCAACACAGCAGTCACTGGCCGTAACCTATGTTTCTCATCAACTAATAGATAAAGAGAGACTTGTAAACACCTCAGCCTCTAGTGGAAATGACTAACACGGCACCAACAACACAGTCCAGAAGGAGGAAGATGACAACAGAGAGCAACAAATCTGCCAACACACTACATCTTCCCCTTCCCTACCCCGCCTCCTCCCTGTCTGCTGGCAGCTGGAATCGCACGCACGCACACAGGCACATACACACACACACACACACACACACACACACACACACACACACACACACACACACACACACACAAACAGACATATCACTTCCCATCCAACTGGGAATAAAGGCCATCCTGTAACTCTAGTATTCCCAACACAGCATGGTCATGTGATATGATGGTGTGGGGCTCTGGTATAGCTCTACTCTACCACAGCAGCATGCAACGTTCATGCTCTGATGCACATTAGTCCAGCATGCTTTCACAGTAAGTAGAGCCTGTGGTTTGAGATCACACAACACTCACACATGACAAACCACACATGACATTCTGATAGCTTTCAAATAAATCTTGACCAGTTTGTAGAAAAACACATGTGACTTGGGAGGTTCATTGGGAGCGTTTGGAGTTTTCTGCAGGGTCTGGATGGTGACAGAGCTATGAGAGAAGCTTGTTAAATATTTAATGAGGCATAATTATCAGGTACAGGTGGCTGGTCTGTACCATACTTCATCTCCCTGGAAGGAGAACCAAAACTGTCAGCCAAAATAACCACCATGTTCTGTCTCAGCACCAGCTATTTTTACCACTACTCTAATGGTAGTCTTAGATTCTCTCTCTGTCCATGTGGAACAAGACTGTATTATGTTTTAATGTGTGCACCGATAGGTCTCTGCTTGGTGGGTCACCCAGGGAAAAGAGTTAACAGAATAAACATGAATTTGTGTTTACATTAGCTGAGAGTATTTGACTTGGGCATAAAAGAGTGAAAATAAATACAAAGAGTCTGCATAATGATTAGAATGGCCAGTATAGCCAGTGATGATGCTGGAATTTAGGCCAATCATCAATTATGAACACGTTTTACTTGAGTCTCTTACATTCAGATTGGAGAGTGAACTCCCAGAAAGAGAGAGAGGTTTATTTTGAAAGCTATCAGAGGGACATGGCAGAGGCTCCTGGTCTGTAAAGGAAACCCTTTACTCATACAGGTTTAGAGACGTGATCCTGGTCTAAGCAGAAGAAAGAGGGGTAAGAGGGGAGAAGGGGTTCCCCACCTGGGCACACCTTGTGGCGGTCTGATGGGGAAAACAGTGAAAAAACACAAAGTACAGAGCACAATTACGGCGGCTTCCCACACAAAGAAAATATGAACATGTCTGCATAAACAGGTACAATCTAAACAATATAATATTGTGAATGGAAATGGGCCTATAATATGAAACCTAGACGTTTCTCGTTTACTGTACTACTTGTTTGTCAGTGACAGACAGTTGAATGCTATTGTGAAAGTGAGAGGAACTGATCCAACTAGAAAAGGCCCTATGCCACATAGCAATTTAGGCCATAATGACACTTCATCAAGGATAATTGAGTTGCATAATGGCTTTCATTGTTAAAGTCAATGTTCATAAAACAGACAAAAATCGAGTTGTATTTGCCAAAAAGATACTCCTGCCACTTGTTTGGGTTGCACAGTAACAGTTTGTTTCTTCTGTACGATCAGACATACAGTATCTAAAGGACAGAAGACACCTGACAGATGAGGAATGTCTGAAGGAAGACAGAACAATGATATGTTGTTGTTGAGAGATTTAAGGAAGCAACATCTCCTGAGTGGCGTTCAAGGCAGCTAGCTCCACAGTGTGTAGCAGCAGGATGGATGTCAAGCGGTGCATCCAACACAACAACAGCTGCAGAACACTGAGCCAGGCAGTTAGTCCCCAGACCGTGTACAGTAGTGGATGACGCATCAAGGTGGCGGTACGGTTCATTCACAATGAGGCAGTGGATCACATGGAGATGACAGGCAGAATGAGGCCCGGGACATGCAGGGAGAATAATGTCCATCCATCAACATCAACACGGCCGGCTGTCTGTCAGAATGGCTAGGGGGGAGTGCTGTAAACAAACAAACGAGTGGGAATGGAGGCTGGTACTGTATGGTCAGTAAGCAGTCACCAATTTAAATACCTTGATGACACCATAACAGTTTCGAAGACACTCTAAAGTTCCATGCAGAGAAAGTGGCTTTCTTTCTTACTACCTTACTACCTTGTACAAGTAGTCACTGCTTAACTATGTGTGTTTTGTAATGAAACCATGAGCTGATATAGAGTAGAATGATCATTCTCATCACAGCAACAGATGTATTTGTCTAGTGCAGTCCAGGTGAATATGTAGTCATGATAAGAAACAAGGAGAACGAACACTGAGGTGACATGCCCCCTGTAGCGGAGAGGAACTTGGACACCACAGAGGATCTATGGTCAAGCAGATGAATGTGAGAGAAGACAAGTGGATTATGAAAAGATGAACAGAAGAGAGAGAGATGAGTGTGTCCCAGAACAGAACAGGCCTATGGACTGAGCATAGACCCTGTTAGCTCACACACACAGACAGGCAAGACGAGAGAGAGAGAGAGAGAGAGAGAGAGAGAGAGCGAGAGAGAGAGAGAGAGAGCATTACCCCATGAAGCTCCTTCAAGAGATCCAAGCCACAAGGAAACAGAAGAGTAATTTTAAGTCAATAGCGCACATAACACATGTACACACACACACACACACATACACACACACATAGCATGAAACAGAGCATTTTGTGGAGGTTAATTTAACGCAATTACACCCCCTACTGCAAAACACCCCAACCGGTTTCTCTATCAGCACATAAACGACTAGGACATTATGTATTCCTATTCTCCAGTTGTGTTTTTATGGAACTAATGGTAGGTTCAGTCAATACCCCAGGCAGCAGCAGCATTAGCAGGCATACAGGACTAAACATAGTGTTTCACCTGAATGGCCCTATTTTCATTCTCACAACAAAAACAGTTGGACCAAAAACTTGGCCCAAAGATTGAGTGTCACGACTTCCGCCAAAGTTGGTGCCTCTCCTTGTTCGGGCGGCGTTCGGCGGTCGTCGTCACCGGCTTTCTAGCTGCCACCGATCTACGTTTCTTTTTCCATTTGTTTTGTCTTGATTGTACACACCTGGTTCCCATTACATTATATTATTTCCCTATTTAACCCTCTGGTTCCCACATTTTGTGCGTGAGACTTATGTGAGCTGGTGTGTTTTCCCTGCGTGGAAATTAGTGTTGTTTATTCTTCGAGTAAAGTACGTCGTTTACTCAGTTCTGTGTCCTACGCCTGACTCCGTCCTACCGCTGCACATTGACACATGACACTGAGCCAATAATGATTACAATATTGCAGCAGTAAGAGGTAGCAGACATCATCCTTCAGGAGTACATATTCTATTGTATTGATGCAAGGAATTTCATGATGAGGAATTTCTCTGATGGGAAATGACAGACTAATTATAGTGCATGTAAAAAAAAAAGCAAGCACAGCATGTCTACATATTTTACAACCAGTGTCTGGGAAAGTGCAGTTTATCAGTTTCTTTAGTAAAAGTTGACTTATCTTTTTTGGGGGGGATGGGGAAATTATGAATGTTAGTAAGAAAATATTAAACTTACGAAAATGCAAATGCCACCAGTGCGCCACTGACCACAATGAAGTCCAGAATGTTCCAGAGATCTCTGAAGTAAGAACCAGGATGGAGCAGGAGGCCCAGGTCAACCATCTGGACCAATTAGAGAGCAGGGTTAGATGCTACAGTACACTGAGGGTGGCGCAACCTCCCATAGTCCTACTCCAAATGTATTAAATTAAAGCCCCAATGCAGTCTTTGTAATTTTATTTTTAAATCATAACTGTATGTCTAATAAATCACTGTGTGTGTTTATTTTCATGAAAACAACTCGAAAATATATATTTTTATCATTTATTTCCCTGAGCCTCTTTTGGCCGTTGAAATGCTCAGTCTGTTCATGTGGGCTTTAGGAAACAAATGTGAAGATATTTACATACACAGCCCTGACTGGCTCATAGGATGGTCTAGAGCCCACCCCCTTACCCAGATGAACAGGCATTGGTCTATTATAATCAGATCACATTGTGACATCATGATGTGGGCTAAAAGTTCCACCCCACCTGAACAGGATGAAATTCCAGGCATTTTTTTCAAACAACTCTTACACAAAAAGGGCATTATCATCATTTTCACAATTTCAGAGTGTTATTTCGACCTCCTAGTGTGGAAATATCATTAAAAAAAACTGGAAACATTTTGTTAACATCAAGTTTTATTGCAAATATCTGGCGTTTTTGAGCCACGGATTTGCAAATAGACTGACTGGTTAACACTTTTTGTCTTGGCTAGCTAGCTTTTTTTTATGCATCTGGACACAGTACCATCTTTTTTGTTTCACCTGGCTGCCAATTCCAGATCTTTTGAGAACATCATTTGAGGAGTCGCCTGAAGCATGAGAGGAATGGGAGACAGAGGAATACAGCAGTCCTGAGGCAGAGGGCTCGTAGAGAGGACGACTGGCTACTATTCTGAACTTTGTGTTGTGAGCTTTCTGGCGCCCCAGAGCTGCTGAGGCATCACCCAAGTGGGTGCTACACAGAGTGGAAGAGGAGAAGTCCAGTGGCTATAAGACTCAGGCTGGTTCCCAGACTTGCCCTCTACAAGATCATCAGCAGACTCCATCACAATCATCTACCATCCTCTGTCCAGCTCCCTTCACTCAAGTCATGAACTGACCCTCTCCATCTTTGGAGGATGCAGCTATCATAGACTTGGCCTCTATTAGTTGACCTGTCATGATACAGTATAGGTCTATTGCTTGTTTAGTTTTTTTTGCTCTTGAACCGCTTTGAGATTCTATGAAAAGCGCTATAGAAAAGTAATAAATCATTATTATTATTATTAAAGTGCTCTCATTTAGTAATGCATTTAATTTAACATGGTATGTGGCATGAGGCCAATACAACTATAGAAGTAACTGAGTGAAAAACAAAGAAATCAATTCTAGTCAAACATAGTGGAAGTCTAAGACAGCTGCCAAAAGGGATCTGAAAACATGTTATTTTTGTTCAGTCATTTCGCATGTAGTAAACATCAGTGCTATCCAAGCTCTTACCTTAATCACCATCTCAAATGTGAAAACTCCCGTGAAGACGTAGTCCAGATACTTGAGCACCTGAACAGGAGAGCGAGAGTGCATTAGTAATAAAAAAGAGGCCATGCAAATGTTATTATTCCTCCAGCTCATTTGAACAGCTGTCTGATCCTCTCCTTGCTTACAGATAGATTTTGATTAACTTTGTTGTCACACCTGTCATTATTTTTCTGACTGAGTCATCGGAGATGTCATGACCGTGTAGATGTAAATCAGGGATGGGCAACTGGCGGCCCGCAGATCAATTTCCCCAAAATGTTGTGCATCAGCAGTTTTTATCTCGTTATGTCAGTCCCTGACAGTCACTCAATTAGCCCGTGTCAGCAAAAACATTTTAGATCAGTATTTTTTGTTGTTGTTGGGACTGCGCCCCATATTTTTTGTGGCCCCCACCCCCATCAAAGTTGCCCATCCTTGGTATACATGTAGATGTACTGACTATGGCTGCCAGATTGAGGGGGCGTGTGTGTGTGTGTGTCTGGCATGTCTGCCTGTGTGTGTGGTGTGTGTGTGTGTGTGTGTGTGTAGACTCACATTGTTGCGTGGAGCGTTGGCCTGGACAGGGTCCTCTGCAGCCAATGCAATGCTACTCATAGATATCACTACCAGGATACACATTTCAAAGTACCGCAGACTCACAATGTAATGACACAGACGCCGCACCCTGGAAAGAGGGAGAGAGAGAGAGAGAGAGAGAGAGAGAGAGAGAGAGAGAGAGAGAGAGAGAGAGAGAGAGAGAGAGAGAGAGAGAGAGAGAGAGAGAGAGAGAGAGAGAGAGAGAGAGAGAGAGAGAGAGAAATAGATCCTATAGTCCATACACAGCTCACCTGAGAGACATCAGCTAATTTAAACACTGTTCCTAGTAATGGCTGGCTGCATATAGACAGGCTATCACAGTGGCTGGCTGCATATAGACAGGCTATCACAGTGGCTGGCTGCATATAGACAGGCTATCACAGTGGCTGGCTGCATATAGACAGGCTATCACAGTGGCTGGCTGCATATAGACAGGCTATCACAGTGGCTGGCTGTTAATTGCCTTTAAGATATGCACTAAAATGTTAACAGGAGTTAAACGTGGGGCCATGTGACAATGTTATCATGTAGCCTGGGACTAAATGGAAGGCAGAGTGTGTGTGGTTTGAATGGTATGAGTTGTGTAGCATATAGTAGAGCTGTCCACGTGGCCCACTCACACGTTGGTCTGGCCAAACACAAACATGGAGCTGTATGGGAGGATGGGTCTGGGTCCGCTCCGAGTCAGCTCCTCCAGGGTCTTCTTCTCCTCGTTCATAGGCATGGTCTCACAGTCTATACTGTTCACTGGGACACAGACACAAAGGTTTAGATATACCTTAGCAACACAGGACACTGACTGGGAATGAGTGTTAGGGTTAAGGTTGGTACTGACTGGGGATAAGGGTGGTCTCTCCAGGCGGGGAGGTGAAGGTGTCAGGGGGGATGTGGACGGCTGTCTGTCCTGTCCGTCTGACGTTCCTCTGGTTGTCTGAGTCCTCAGCTATCTCTGTGCCCCACCTCTGATCTCCAGGGTCCTGCTGGGGGCTAGTGGCCAGGGAGTCGCCCTCGGACTCCACATATTTGTCCCTGGGAAACAGAGGGAATGACCATATAGCACAACTCATTGATCTTTGGTACTAGGAATACATCTATTCCTCTAAAATAACGTTATAGGATATGCTCTCATCATTGCGAAATGATGTACCATATAGATTTGCAGTAGTTAACCAATATAGTCATGTAGATGTCATCAGGAGAAGTAACAGAGAGACAGGGACTGAGACAGTCTTACTTGTGGCCCTTCCCCCTCTCACTGTGCTCCTCTCCCTCCAGTGTGGACTGGCCCCTGGAGCTGTGGGTCTTGTGTCTCCTCCTCTCCCCATTGGCCCCGTTCTCTCCCCTGGAGCACCTCTCTCCCGAGCGGCCATCTTTGTGGCGTGACCTGCGCTCGTCCTTGCGTCCGCTGTTGACAGTGCCGTTACCCTCTCTGGCCTGTCTGTGGGAATGGTGGTGGCGGTGCTCTCTCTCCCCCGTTCCAGTTCCCCCTCCTCCTTCCTCGTCCACTGAGGTCTGGTGGTGGTGCCTCCTGCCACCCACTCGGTTGTGCGACCGCTCACTCTTCCCCTCCTTACCCCGAGTCCCGTCGGGGTCCTTGCTGCGACTGTGATGGACATGGTGCCTACCCTCTTTGCCTGGATCTCCATTCTCATTGGCCTCATCGATGGGTCTCTCCCTGTCCCGGTGGCGCCTGCGTGGCTGGGGGCCGGCCTGGTCCCCAGGGATATCTGTCTCCTCAGGGGTCCGGGGCTTGAGGTGGCCCATGGGGCCGGGGCCGTCGTGGGGCTCCACGACCAGGGGCCGGTCCAGGTGGGTCTTCATGTCAGGGCGGATGTGCAGGGCGGAGGACATGCGCAGCCTCTCCTCAGGGTCCAGCTCGCTGTACAGGGCCTCACTGCTGGCCCGCAGGTTGTGTCTCCTCAGCTGAGTGGTGCGCTGCTCCCACACTGACATCATCTTCAGAGACTTCTGCTGCTCCTTACTGCAGGTGGACAGACAGGTCAGAGGGACAGCGTAGTTCACCTTTAATAGGGTACACTGAAAAAGTGTCCTTTACTGCATGAGTTATATGTATTTATTATGTATTTGAAGAGAAGGATAATAAGACATACAATTTATATACAGTATGGAGGTTTCTTCACAGCAAAACAGTCCGGTCCCACTCCATTACCACAGGTAAAAAGAGAGTCTTTATGGACAGGCCAAGCATGGTAGACCAAGACCATGCTCTGACATGCTTCATTTGCGTGTCTGTAGAGTACTTTGAAATGGTTGAACACATGCATTCTAAATCAGTAGTCTACCTACCACACGTATTCCAATACATCAAACATGACTTCCTTTGCTGTGTAGAAAACAGTATTAACTTTCCTACAACGGTATGAAAACTATATATTCTATCATGTCTACTTGTTATAGCCTAGTAGTCATGTTCAACCCCAGGGCTCCAATCTTTCCTCCATTACTTACCTGAGAACAGAGTATAGCTCTAAACTATGAAGTCTCTGACTTAGGGGTGAATGGAGAGGTGGCAGGGGATTATTTGAGTGAATTTACAGTATAGTATACGGTACACTATAAGGAGGAGATGATAAATGAATATGTAGGGCAAAGTAAAGAAGCGGGACAAGATTTTGGTTCCATCCTGCTTCAATAATGTAAACACGATGATGATGATGGTCATCACCAGGAAGTTATGTACAGTGAGGGAAAAAAGTATTTGATCCCCTGCTGATTTTGTACGTTTGCCCACTGACAAAGACATGATCAGTCTATAATTTTAATGGTAGGTTTATTTGAACAGTGAGAGACAGAATAACAACAAAATAATCCAGAAAAACACATGTAAAAAATGTTATAAATTGATTTGCATTTTAATGAGGGAAATAAGTATTTGACCCCTTTGCAAAACATGACTTAGTACTTGGTGGCAAAACCCTTGTTGGCAATCACAGAGGTCAGACGTTTCTTGTAGTTGGCCACCAGGTTTGCACACATCTCAGGAGGGATTTTGTCCCACTCCTCTTTGCAGATCTTCTCCAAGTCATTAAGGTTTCGAGGCTGACGTTTGGCAACTCGAACCTTCAGCTCCCTCCACAGATTTTCTATGGGATTAAGGTCTGGAGACTGGCTAGGCCATTCCAGGACCTTAATGTGCTTCTTCTTGAGCCACTCCTTTGTTGCCTTGGCTGTGTGTTTTGGGTCATTGTCATGCTGGAATACCCATCCACGACCCATGTTCAATGCCCTGGCTGAGGGAAGGAGGTTCTCACCCAAGGTTGATGGTACATGGCCCCGTCCATCGTCCCTTTGATGCGGTGAAGTTGTCCTGTCCCCTTAGCAGAAAAACACCCCCAAAGCATAATGTTTCCACCTCCATGTTTGATGGTGTTCTTGGGGTCATAGGCAGCATTCCTCCACCTCCAAACACGGCGAGTTGAGTTGATGCCAAAGAGCTCGATTTTGGTCTCATCTGACCACAACACTTTCACCCAGTTCTCCTCTGAATCATTCAGATGTTCATTGGCAAACTTCAGACGGGCCTGTATATGTGCTTTCTTGAGCAGGGGGACCTTGCGGGCGCTGCAGGATTTCAGTCCTTCACGGCGTAGTGTGTTACCAATTGTTTTCTTGGTGACTATGGTCCCAGCTGCCTTGAGATCATTGACAAGATCCTCCCGTGTAGTTCTGGGCTGATTCCTCACCGTTCTCATGATCATTGCAACTCCACGAGGTGAGATCTTGCATGGAGCCCCAGGCCGAGGGAGATTGACAGTTATTTTGTGTTTCTTCCATTTGCGAATAATCGCACCAACTGTTGTCACCTTCTCACCAAGCTGCTTGGCGATGGTCTTGTAGCCCATTACAGCCTTGTGTAGGTCTACAATCTTGTCCCTGACATCCTTGGAGAGCTCTTTCGTCTTGGCCATGGTGGAGAGTTTGGAATCTGATTGATTGATTGCTTCTGTGGACAGGTGTCTTTTATACAGGTAACAAACTGAGATTAGGAGCACTCCCTTTAAGAGTGTGCTCCTAATCTCAGCTCGTTACCTGTATAAAAGACACATGGGAGACAGAAATCTTTCTGATTGAGAGGGGGTCAAATACTTATTTCCCTCATTAAAATGCAAATCAATTTATAACATTTTTGACATGCGTTTTTCTGGATTTTTTGGTTGTTATTCTGTCTCTTACTATGTTATACAAGTAGATTGTCATGGCCACCATAAGTTAGTTTACCTCAAGTAGTGATGGACTGGGGAGCAGACATAACTCCTACAACACATAAAGGAGCACATTGAAACAAACAAGGGGCAGACTAAGAGTAAGCTCCCTAAAAGTGCCATCAACAGGTTAGGAGACATTGAAAACAAACACAGGGGGAAACAAGAGTTTAGAAAGACTGAAAGAGGAGAAACATGGGGCGACACGAATAACACAGAAACCAAAGAACTTACTTCACTGAGAGGAGAACTGAAAATAAAGAAGCCAAGGGAAAGACCCAGATGTTGGTATTGCACAACAATAAGGATACTTAGTACCTGACGTTATCTTAAACAATCCTACCCCCAGGTTATATTATCCTTGTAAATATGAAACACTAGTCCCTAATATAAATGAGTGGCATGGCACTTCAGCCAAACAAAGGGTATTTCAGTTGTGTGTGTGTGTGTGTGTGCGTGTGTGTACATCCGTGCAAGTTTGTGTGTGTGTGTGTTTTGCCTCTCCAGCTGCCTGGCAGTGGCATCTGGTCCCGTGGCACATGGTGGCCATTACAAACCTGCTCAGATGGAACTGCTGACTCACTGAGCGTCAGCAACAGTTTCTAGTGGCTTTGCTGTGGGTCATTAAGACAGGGAGTGAGAACGGCTTTCAGTCCCTCCCCTACAGAACGTCTGCTCTACACAACAGGGGCCTGCTGTTAACTGAGCCCAGCCCAGCAGCACAACACACCACCTCTGAGTGGTGAACCCAGCATAGGCAGGAAGTCATTCTTTAGAGAGGGAGAGTCACGAGGAGAGCTCAGTCACTGCAACAAGTGCAGATGTACAGTATTCAATATATTCACTGGTCCATCATGACAAACACATGTAGATACAGCATGAGCATACCATATCATGACACCTGTTTCTGAGAAAGGCTTCCACATTCATCTGCAACAGTTCTACACAGTGGAATACTCATAATGGTATGACACCATGCTCAGGAGAACAGTTCAGAGTCAAGGGGGAGACAGGGGGAGGGGAGGTAGGCTGTTGGTCCAGTGTTCGTTTACAGCCAAGCTCAACATTAGGCATGATAACGATAGATTAATTGGCTACTGTACATAGTGAATGGGACCCAGGCTAGGGAGGAGGAGGAGGAGGAGGAGGAGGAGGAGGAGGGTGATGGAGTAAAGTGTAACGGAGAGTAAACACTCACAGTGAATTAACGCTGCAGACGGACGAGCTGCGAGAGATTGCACCTTGACTTTGCTTTACAAAACTGCACATGCAAAAAAACAAAAGTTGGGGGAGGGAGAACAAAAGAGTGGGAGAGTTCAGGGTCAGAAGGAGGCCAGGACACCCTCTTTCCATTCATCCATCCGTCTGTCTGTCCCTGTACTTTCCCATTAGGCGTCAACTCAATGGGAATCTCAGTTTGAGACCAACAGATTGAGGAAACAAAGGAATGATAGCAGCAGTTTTGAGACATTCAACCTCCAAGACAATAGTGAATATAGTCATATCTCACATTGCAGAGACAAAAATCTCTATGCAAGAGATTTATAGGTGGCCATGTTTCAAGTCCGATTACATTACATTTATAATTTGTTTGAGGATATATGGAGGAAAAAATTCTCAAAACCCATATTAATAAGGTTCTACAAATTGATGGCTACATCACATTTTTTAAATAACAAGATAAAACAGTGCTTTGAAACATTTAAGACAAAACATTTAAAACAATAACAGAATCACATATCCTGCTACCATCTACTATGAAGACACTAATTGCAGGTGTTATACATACAGGTGAACGTCAGTGACTGATATGCCACATACAATGACTGATATGCTCGAAATCTCATGTGGACTATCTATTTAGCTAGCTCAATTGACATTTTATGTTAAGTGCCTGTCACGCGAAAGAGATTAGTGGTGGGGTCCAACAATGGTATACACCACAGAACCACAGAACCATGTGTCTGAATGTACAGCGTTGCATGCTCAATCTGTGCTCATTGTTTATTAAATTACCTTGCTGGCATTGCCCTCTCCGCTCCATGTTGGCCTGTGTACAGCATACTGTGTAGCCTATGTAGGGGTGGGAGCCAGAGTATTAAGGTATCTCTGACCCTTCTAAAGCCTTTTACTAATTGCTTCTCACACATTTACAACATTGAGCCCTACAGTGACTCAAAGAGAGAACACATGATCTATCAAAACACTGGGAACAGAAGGGTTGAATCATACAAAACTCAGAAGAACACAATCAACAAAAAACTGGGCCTACAGACAGGATAATACAACTTACAGTATGCAGAGCCACAAACAACACAACATCTCATGTAGACAAACTTAAAATAATATAAAAGAGCATCTCTCAGGAGGGGGAGACAGTGTGGTGTGCTTGGGGGGAGGGCAGGGGGGGTAGCAGGGGGAAACTGGATCAAACGCCAGATCATGACTTACACTGTGATGGAGATGTTAGCTGCCGACATGGGGCTAACCTCCTTCACCTCCTTGACCTTCTGGAGGGCCATCTTCTTGGTGATGGCCACCTCCTGCTCCTCCTCGTCCTGGGGAGCACATACACACAGAGGAAATAATATCACCCAGGGGTGGGTAGGAGAGCCATCAATGGAGACATGATGATAAGCCCTGCCACAAGCCAACAAATCAACGCCATCAACTCTTTCTGGAGTGGCCGCTAAGATTTAAGCCTCTTCCCTCCAGTTAGGAGGTTCATTGCCTTGAGTTATTGACCAGGATAAACATCAGTCATCCCAGAACAGCACCCAGACAACAGGGTTAAAGAACCAGTAAAGTAAGGCACTATATATCCTAATAGGAATATTACCTCTCTAATTCAACAAGCATAAATACAGGGATGAAATTCCATGTGGCGTTTGATTAGACAGCTGACTTTTATGATGGATCATCAGCTGAACTCTCGCTCTCTCGCTCTCGTTCAGAGGCTGAAAGCCCGACTGTACTATGTACTGTACCTTAGTGAGCTCCTGTGCGTTTGCAAGGTTGTCAACAGCGATGGCCAAGAAGACATTGAGGAGAGTGTCTGATCAGTGAGGGGTCAGGAAAGTTCAAACAGTTAATCAGTCAATCAATATTTACATCGGATCCTAATCATCCTATACAGCAAGGCTTGACATTAACTATTTTATGACACAAGTAGGACAGATTTTTTACTTATCCAAAAGCTCAAGTTACTTGTCCCAACAAAGAAAAAGGTCTGTACCACCATTTTTACGGCATTGTATGATGCAAGGAAGCACTTTACAAAATAAAACACTTTACAATATTTTTTACCATAGAGAATCAGACAAAAATGTAGGCTACACTCTGCCTATTGGCTTTTTTGCATATTCAAGCAGGTCTCAAAATACAACACTGCCCCTTTAACGCAAATCAAACATTTTATTTGTCACATGCACTGAATACAACAGGTGTAGACCTTACTGTGAAATTATTACTTACAAGCCCTTAACCAACAATGCAGTTAAGAAAAAATAAGAGTTAAGAAAACATTTACTAAATAAACTAAAGTAATAAAAAAGTAACACAATTAAATAACAATAACGAGGCTATATACAGGGGGTACCGGTACCAAGTCAATGTGCGGGGGTACAGGTTAGTCGAGGTAATTAAGGTAATATGTACAATGAGGTAAACAAGTATTTGATCCCCTGCTGATTTTGTACGTTTGCCCACTGACAAAGAAATGATCAGTCTATAATTTTAATGGTAGGTTTATTTGAACAGTGAGAGACAGAATAACAACAAAAAAATCCAGAAAAATACGTAAAAAATGTTATAAATTGATTTGCATTTTAATGAGGGAAATAAGTATTTGACCCCCTCTCAATCAGAAAGATTTCTGGCTCCCAGGTGTCTTTTATACAGGTAACGAGCTGAGATTAGGAGCACACTCTTAAAGGGAGTGCTCCTAATCTCAGCTTGTTACCTGTATAAAAGACACCTGTCCACAGAAGCAATCAATCAATCAGATTCCAAACTCTCCACCATGGCCAAGACCAAAGAGCTCTCCAAGGATGTCAGGGACAAGATTGTAGACCTACACAAGGCTGGAATGGGCTACAAGACCATCGCCAAGCAGCTTGGTGAGAAGGTGACAACAGTTGGTGCGATTATTCGCAAATGGAAGAAACACAAAAGAACTGTCAATCTCCCTCGGCCTGGGGCTCCATGCAAGATCTCACCTCGTGGAGTTGCAATGATCATGAGAACGGTGAGGAATCAGCCCAGAACTACACGGGAGGATCTTGTCAATGATCTCAAGGCAGCTGGGACCATAGTCACCAAGAAAACAATTGGTAACACACTACGCCGTGAAGGACTGAAATCCTGCAGCGCCCGCAAGGTCCCCCTGCTCAAGAAAGCACATATACAGGGCCGTCTGAAGTTTGCCAATGAACATCTGAATGATTCAGAGGAGAACTGGGTGAAAGTGTTGTGGTCAGATGAGACCAAAATCAAGCTCTTTGGCATAATATGCCTTTGGCATCAACTCAACTCGCCGTGTTTGGAGGAGGAGGAATGCTGCCTATGACCCCAAGAACACCATCTCCACCGTCAAACATGGAGGTGGAAACATTATGCTTTGGGGGTGTTCTTCTGCTAAGGGGACAGGACAACTTCACCGCATCAAAGGGACGATGGACGGGGCCATGTACCGTCAAATCTTGGGTGAGAACCTCCTTCCCTCAGCCAGGGCATTGAAAATGGGTCGTGGATGGGTATTCCAGCATGACAATGACCCAAAACACACGGCCAAGGCATCAAAGGAGTGGCTCAAGATGAAGCGCATTAAGGTTCTGGAGTGGCCTAGCCAGTCTCCAGACCTTAATCCCATAGAAAATCTGTGGAGGGAGCTGAAGGTTCGAGTTGCCAAACGTCAGCCTCGAAACCTTAATGACTTGGAGAAGATCTGCAAAGAGGAGTGGGACAAAATCCCTCCTGAGATGTGTGCAAACCTGGTAGCCAACTACAAGAAACGTCTGACCTCTGTGATTGCCAACAAGGGTTTTGCCACCAAGTACTAAGTTATGTTTTGCAGAGGGGTCAAAATGCCTTAAAATGCAAATCAATTTATAACATTTTTGACATGCGTTTTTTCTGGATTTTTTTGTTGTTATTCTGTCTCTCACTGTTCAAATAAACCTACCATTAAAATTATAGACTGATCATTTCTTTGTCAGTGGGCAAACGTACAAAATCAGCAGGGGATCAAATACTGTTTCCCCTCACTGTAGGTAGGGGTAAAGTGACTATGCATAGATAATAAACAGCGGGTGGCCATTTCATTAACTGTTCAGCAGTCTTATGGCTTGGGGGTAGAAGCTGTTAAGGAGCCTTTAACCCAATGAGTCCCACTATAACGGCGGCGCATTTTGGTTTTCTAACCCCTTTTAAACATTTTGTGTTTGAGCTAAAGACCATTAGTTTATGTGATAAACGGGGACAGAGCTAGAGCGGTGTTGGTGAGACAAGGGTGGATCCCGAAGGGGACCGGGGCTGGGTCTTTTTGCAAAAATGTCTGTAGAGTCCGAATGGCTTGAGCGACAAACTATTAAAAGCTATCTATCAAAAACTGAGACTCGCATGAACCTGCACATTCAACATGTTTTGTTTACAAGCTACGCAAGAGTTGTTAGAAGGTAAGGGGTTCTTCTACATAGAAGATCATAGGAAAGAAAATGGCGCCGGAGGGGATGGCTGCCGTTTTACGGGCTCCTAACCAATTGTGGTATTTTGTGTGTTTTTTCGCATTGTATGTAACTTATTTTGTACGTAATGTTTCTGCTACCGTCTCCTATGACCGAAAAGAGCTTCTGGATATCAGAACAGCGATTACTCACCTTTAACTGGACGAAGATTTTTTCTTTAATGAGTATGACGCGAAGCATTTACTGCTGCTTCTGGACCAGTCTCAAATCCCCATCATTCACATGAAGAGGAGACGGAGATACAGAGGCGCAAATCCGGGTACCTTGTGAGAATTCGTCAGCGAGTGGGTAACCCACTTCTACCATCCGTCCTATTGGCATACGTGCAATCACTTGAGAATAAACTGGATGAGCTCTGTTTGAGACTATCCTACCAACGGGACATTAAACACTGTGGCTGAACGACAACATAGATATACAGTTGGCTGGATTTTCCGTGCATCGGCAAGACAGAACAGCTACCTCCGGTAAGACGAAGGGCGGTGGTCTGTGTTTATTTGTCAATAAGGTTTTGATGTTTTGCTCGCCTGAGGTAGAGTACGACATGATAAGCTGTAGACCACACCATCTACCAAGAGAGTTTTCATCTATATTTTTTGTAGCTGTCTATTTACCACCACAAACCGATGCTGGCACTAAGATCACAGTAAACGAGCTGTATAAGGCCATAAGCAAACAAGAAAATGCTCATCCAGAAGCGGCACTCCTAGTGGTCGGGGACTTTAATGCAGGAAAACTTAAATCCGTTTTACCTCATTTCTACCAGCATGATTAGTGTAAAGTTAGCTAGCTACATAGTTGTCTTGGTATCAAAGACAAAGGTGTAGTATAGAGAAACTATCGAGGTTAGCTAGCCAGCTACATTATCAAACAGTCAACACCGCAGCCACTGCTAGCTAGCCAACATTACCAGCTAGCAGTACTGTATCATTTTAGTCAATGAGAATTTTGCAACGTAAGCTTCACTTTCTGAACATTCGAGATGTGTAGTCCACTTGTGTAGCTAGCATGACTGACTTTGTGCTAGCTAGCCAAAGTTTAATTACTTCTGCGTTATGAATGGAACTAGACACGGACATGACTGATCCATTGGTAGTTTGTTGTAACCAAGTATTGGTGCTAAACCGTGTGTTATTGGATGCTAGCATGCTAGTTAGCTATGGCGTCATAGGATACGGTGCCCTGGGCGGTTTTCACAGAAGAATACTGTACCAAGTTAGCTAGCTGAATAAACTAAGTTATTCTATTCCTGGAAACATTGAACTACTGTAGATTACAGCAATTATAATTTCTAAAGTGGAAGTTGGAAGAGTTGTATTTGAGTGTTTCAGTGAAAGGTTAGTGAGGGAGGCCTCGTTTCCCCAGATGTTTAGTTAATTTCATTCCGATCTCCTTTGCATTAGTGTAGCCTTTTCTGTAGCCTGTCAACTATGTGTCTGTCTATCCCTGTTCTCTCCTCTCCGCACAGGCCATACAAATGCCTCACACGCGTGGCTGCTGCATCTCTAACCTGGTGGTACCTGCACGCACGACCCACGTGGAGTTCCAGGTCTCCGGCAGTCTCTGGAACTACCGTTCTGCGGCCAACAAGGCAGAGTTAATCTCAGCCTATGCAATCTCCTGATTCTGCCTCCTCAACCCTCCTCTCCTCCCTTTCTGCATCTTTTGACTCTCTATGTCCCCTATCCTCCCGGCCGGCTCGGTCCTCCACTCCTGCTCCGTGGCTAGACGACTCATTGCGAGCTCACAGAACAGGGCTCCGGGCAGGCGAGCGGAAATGGAGGAAAACTAGACTCCCTGCCAACCTGTCATCTTTTCACTCCCTCCTCTCTACATTTTCTTCCTCTGTTTCTGCTGCTAAAGCCACTTTCTACCACTCTAAATTTCAAGCCTCTGCCTCTAACCCTAGGATGCTCTTTGCCACCTTCTCCTCCCTGCTGAATCCTCCTCCTCCTCCGTGGATGACTTCGTCAACCATTTTGAAAAGAAGGTTGACGACATCCGATCCTCATTTATTAAGTCAAATGACACCGCTGGTCCTGCTCACACTGCCCTACCCTATGCTTTGACTTCTTTCTCCCCCCTCAAAAAAAAATTTTTGTAAAGGGGTGGGGTGGGGTGGGGTAGGGGGAGGGTAGAAGGATTACTTTTATCCTATCCCAGGTATTCCTTAAAGAAGTGGGTTTTCAAGTGTCTCTGGAAGGTGGTGAGTGACTCCGCTGTCCTGGCGTCGTGAGGGAGCTTGTTCCACCATTGGGGTGCCAGAGCAGCGAACAGTTTTGACTGGGCTGAGCGGGAACTGTGCTTCCGCAGAGGTAGGGGGGCCAGCAGGCCAGAGGTGGATGAACCCAATGCCCTCGTTTGGGTGTAGGGACTGATCAGAGCCTGAAGGTACGGAGGTGCCGTTCCCCTCATAGCTCCGTAAGCAAGCACCATGGTCTTGTAGCAGATGCAGGCTTCAACTGGAAGCCAGTGGAATGTGCTGAGGAGTGGGGTGACATGAGAGAACTTGGGAAGGTTGAACACCAGACGGGCTGCAGCGTTCTGGATGAGTTGTAGGGGTTTAATGGCACAGGCAGGGAGCCCAGCCAACAGCGAGTTGCAGTAATCCAGACGGGAGATGACAAGTGCCTGGATTAGGACCTGTGCCGCTTCCTGTGTAAGGTAGGGTCGTACTCTGCAAATGTTGTAGAGTATGAACCTACAGGATCGGGTCACCGCTTTGATGTTAGCGGAGAACGACAGGGTGTTGTCCAGGGTCACGCCAAGGCTCTTTGCACTCTGGGAGGAGGACACAACGGAGTTTGTCAACCATGATGGCGAGATCATGGAGCGGGTAGTCCTTCCCCGGGAGGAAGAGCAGCTCCGTCTTGCCGAGGTTCAGCTTGAGGTGGTGATCCGTCATCCACACTGATATGTCTGCCAGACATGCAGAGATGCGATTCGCCACCTGGTTATCAGAAGGGGGAAAGGAGAAGATTAATTGTGTGTCGTTTGCGTAGCAATGATAGGAGAGACCATGTGAGGATATGACAGAGCCAAGTGACTTGGTGTATAGAGAGAATAGGAGAGGGCCTAGAACTGAGCCCTGGGGGACACCAGTGGTGAGAGCACGTGGTGCGGAGACAGATTCTCGCCACGCCACCTGGTAGGAGCGACCTGTGAGGTAGGACACAATCCAAGAGTGAGCCGCGCCGGAGATGCCCAACTCGGAGAGGGTGGAGAGGAGGATCTGATGGTTCACAGTATCAAAGGCAGCAGATAGATCTAGAAGGATGAGAGCAGAGGAGAGAGAGTTAGCTTTAGCAGTGCGGAGAGCCTCCGTGACACAGAGAAGAGAAGTCTCAGTTGAATGACCAGTCTTGAAACCTGACTGGTTTGGATCAAGAAGGTCATTCTGAGAGAGATAGCAAGAGAGTTGGCTAAAGACGGCACACTCAAGAGTTTTGGAGAGAAAAGAAAGAAGGGATACTGGTCTGTAGTTGTTGACATCGGAGGGATCGAGTGTAGGTTTTTTGAGAAGGGGTGCAACTCTCGCTCTCTTGAAGTCGGAAGGGACATAGCCAGTGTTCAATGATGAGTTGATGAGCGAGGTGAGGTAAGGGAGAAGGTCTCCGGAAATGGTCTGGAGAAGAGAGGAGAGGATAGGGTCAAGCGGGCAGGTTGTTGGGCGGCCTGCCGTCACAAGTCGCAAGATTTCATCTGGAGAGAGAGGGGAGAAAGAAGTCAAAGCATAGGGTAGGGCAGTGTGAGCAGGACCAGCGGTGTCATTTGACTTAATAAATGAGGATCGGATGTCGTCAACCTTCTTTTCAAAATGGTTGACGAAGTCATCCACAGAGAGGTAGGAGGGAGAAGGAGGAGGAGGAGGATTCAGCAGGGAGGAGAATGTGGCAAAGAGCTTCCTAGGGTTAGAGGCAGAGGCTTGAAATTTAAAGTGGTAGAAAGTGGCTTTAGCAGCAGAAACAGAGGAAGAAAATGTAGAGAGGAGGGAGTGAAAAGATGACAGGTCGGCAAGGAGTCTAGTTTTCCTCCATTTCCGCTCGGCTGCCCGGAGCCCTGTTCTGTGAGCTCGCAACATTGTTATAGTGTAAAAATCTATGCTAAATCATGTTACTATCACAGGCCCCATGATGCTTATAGAGAAATTATCATTCGTTACTCATTGTGTACTTATTCCTCGTGTTATTATTTTTAATATTTTAATATTTTTTCTCTCTCTGCATTGTTGGGAAGGCCCGTAAGTTAGCGTTTCACTGTTAGTCTACACCTGTTGTTTTCGAAGCATGTGACAAATAAAATGTGATTTGATTTAATCAATGCAGGTCGATCATCCAGATAGGATACAGTTTCCAAACAGGGTGAGAACGATGAAGTAGATGGAGGAGAACATTCCCCGCCGAACGCCCCCCTGGGACTCTATCCCATGATACATCACTGCATTCCAGTCCTCTCCTGTCAGAATCTAGGAGACACAAACATATTGTCACAGATTTAGCTAATGGTATTACAGTAGTTATAATATAAAGTGATTTTCAAAAGGCAAACAAAGCACAACTTCATTGAGCATTTTGTAAACATCACCTGGAAAACTGTGAGAATGGCTGCTGGAAAGGTGTCAAAGTTTGTTGTTGGTGTCTCCTCTTCAAAATTAAACCTGCAGGAGGAAACAGATTAGAGAGGTTGTTAACTTTGAGCTATGCCTTGCTAGCACACAGGTTCACACTATATATCATAATCCCTCATCACTTTTGTGACCATTGAAATATTTAGAAGAATCCCACTTAGTCATAATGTATTATTGTGTTGCGCCAGCACAATATTTATAGTACATCTTGCTGCTGTCAGAGCCCTAACAGCTTGGTTGGCTACCATAAACCTCTCTGTCAAGGCTGATTTCACAGCAGCACAGTAGAACACATTCCTAGCTAATGGGGGAGTTGAAGATAAGCACAAACTAATCTTGATATTCTATATTGCTCTGTGTGAATCTACAGGGACCTCATTACACCTTCCAACAATGAGAGTGATGCAGAAAGCAAACTAAGTGGGTCCTCTCTCTGCCTGCTAAAATCCTTGGTGCATATACAGACATTCATTAGTACATGTCTCATTAGTTTCCCAACTAGAGAAAAGACAATGCAGGTCAGCATAAAACCCTGTTTAATCCACTCTACTGTCTGGTAAAAATATGTGCATCTGTACAAATGAATCATCATAAACTACCAAACAGGACAAATAAATACAATAGAATACAATAGATAAAACAAGTGACAATAGATAAAACAAGTATAGTGTGCATCTAATACTGTATGTATCTCACTAAATGTGTTTCTTTTCTTTTCACTGGGACAGGCATGACGTTGAATATACACTGAGCGTACAAAACATTAATTATCCTTCATTATATTTCTCAAACATGACTGGCGTTTAGCCTATATTTACAGTGCTTTGGTAAAGTATTCAGACCCCTTGACTTTTCCACATTTTCTTACGTTACAGGCTTATTCTAAAATTGATTAAATTGTCCCCCCCCCCCCCCCCCCCCCCCCCATCAATCTACACACAATACCCCATAATGACAAAGCAAAAACAGGTTTTTAGAAATATTTGCTAATTTATAAATAAATAAATAATAATATTGCATTTACATAAGTATTCAGACCCCTTATTCAGTATTGTTGAAGCACCTTTGGCAGTGATTACTGTGACGAGGTGAAATGAAGGAGTCAGGCGCAGGAGGTAAAATACCGAAGTCCAGAGTTTAATGCGTTCACATATATCAAACGCCCCAAGCGTCAAAAGGAACAAGCTCAAGGGAAAACATCCACCTTGGTAAATACAATGTAGAGTAGCTCAACCGAGATAACATGTTCTCAAAATAAACAATCACTCACAAAGACAAGGGGAACAGAGGGAACACTTATACACATACTAATTAGGGGAATGAGCACCAGGTGTGTGTGATTGACAAGACATGACAAGTGGAGTGATGAGAATGAGATCGGCAGTAGCTAGTACAGTAGCCTGCCTGAACAAGGAGGAGGGGCAGCCTCGGTGGACATTGTGACAGTACCCCCACCCCCCCCCCCCCCTTGACGCGCGGCTCCAGCAGTGCGCCGACCCCGGCCTCGGGGGCGGACAGGAGGACGCGGAGCAGGGTGAGTCGGATGGCGACGGTGGAAATCCCTCAACAGGGAGGGATCGAGGATGTCCCGCCTTGGGACCCAGCACCGTTCCTCCGGACCGTACCCCTCCCACTCCACAAGATACTGAAGGCCCCCCACCCGACGCCTCAAATCCAGGATGGAATGGACCGAGTACGCCGGGGCCCCCTCAATGTCCAGAGGAGGTGGAGGCACAACCCGCACCTCAGACTCCTGGAGCGGACCAGCTACCACCGGCCTGAGGAGAGACAGATGAAATGAGGGGTTAATACGGTAATCAGGGGGAGTAACAACCTGTATGTCACCTCATTCATTCTCCTCAGGACTTTAAACGGCCCCACAAACCGCGGGCTCAGCTTCCGGCAGGGCAGGCGGAGGGGCAGATTCCGGGTCGAGAGCCAGACCCGATCCCCCGGTACGAACACCGGGGCCTCCCTGCGGTGGCGGTCAGCGTTGGCCTTCTGACGACGCACGGCGCGCTGGAGGCGAACGTGGGCAGCGTCCCAAGTCTCCTCCGCGCGCCGAAACCAGTCATCCACCGCAGGAGCCTCGGTCTGGCTACTGCCAGAACCGGTTGGTAACCTAAAACACATTGGAAGGGTGTTAGGTTAGTGGAGGAGTGGCGGAGAGAGTTCTGAGTATATTCTGCCCATGGCAGGAACACCGACCACTCCCCCGGCCGGTCCTGACAGTAGGTCCACAGGAACCTACCCACATCCTGATTCACCCTTTCCACCTGCCCATTACTCTCGGGGTGAAATCCAGAGGTCAGGCTGACCGAGACACCCAGACGTTCCATGAATGCCTTCCAGACTCTAGACGTGAACTGGGGACCCCGGTCAGACACTATATCCTCTGGTACCCTGTAGTGCCGGAAGACGTGAGTAAACAGAGTCTTCGCAGTCTGCAGGGCCGTGGGGAGACCAGGCAGAGGAAGGAGGCGGCAGGACTTTGAAAAGCGGTGGTGTTACCTTGTGAGGGGGGAAGATCAGTGAGGAAATCAATACTTAAGTGAGACCATGGTCGTTGTGGAACTGGTAAAGGTTGTAGCTTACCCGCTGGGAGATGCCTAGGTGCCTTACTCTGGGCGCACACTGAGCAGGAGGACACATACACCCTCACGTCCTTAGCCAAGGTAGGCCACCAGTACTTCTCGGTCAGGCAGCGCATTGTACGACCGATACCTGGATGACCAAAGGAGGGTGACGTGTGTGCCCAGTTGATCAAACAATCACGGATAAGCGCAGGCACGTACTGCAGCCCAGCTGGACACTGCGGTGGAGATGGATCTGTGCGTAATGCCTGCGCTATATCCGCATCCATCGCCCATACTACAGGTGCCACAATGCATGAGGCCGGGAGTATGGGGGTGTTGTCTCTGGGCCTCTCCTCTGTATCATACAGCCGAGACAGTGCGTCTGCCTTCAGGTTCTTTGTACCTGGAATGTATGAGAGTGTGAAATCAAACCGGGTGAAGAAGAAGGCCCACCTGGCCTGGCGAGGAAAGGGTGTTTCGCCCCTTCGAGCCAATATCTCCACACCGTCAAAGCTCGGACAACAGCCAACAGCTCCCGATCACCAACGCCGTAGTTCTGCTCCGCCGAGCTTCTTAGAAAAGAAGGCACAGGGGCGGAGCTTGGGTGGCGTGCCCGAACGTTGGGATAGTACAGCGCCTATCCCTACCTTGGACGCATCCACCTCCACTACGAACGGTAGTGATGGATCGGGGTGAGCCAGTACCGGGGCTGAGGTGAACAGATCCCGCAATCTATTGAAGGCCAAATATGCCTCAGCAGACCAGCGGAGCCGGGATGGCCCACCCTTCAACAAGGAGGTAATGGGAGCTGCGACCTTGCCAAAGCCTCGAATAAACCTTCAATAGTAGTTGGCAATGCCAAGGAAGCGCTGCACCTCCTTTACCGTGGTTGGAGTCGGCCAATTACGCACGGCTGAAATGTGGTCTCCCTCCATCTCCACACCTGTGGTAGTAATGCAGTATCCGAGGAAGGAGATTGACTGCTGGAAAAACTCACACTTTTCTGCCTTGGCATAAAGATCATTCTCCAGCAGTCAGACCAGTACCTTGCGAACCAGGGACACATGCTCGGCGTTCGTAGCGGAATACACCAAGATGTCATCGATGTAGACCACCACACCGCGACCAAGCATGTCCCGAAACACCTCGTTCACAAAGGACTGGAAAACGGATGGAGCATTCATCAAACCGTAGGGCATCACCAGGTATTCATAATGCCCCGAGGTTGTGCTGAATGCTGTTTTCCACTCATCCCCTTCCCAAATACGCACCAGGTTGTAGGCACTCCTGAGGTCTAATTTTGTGAAAAGACGGGCCCCAAGCATTGACTCAATCACTGAAGGAATGAGGGGAAGAGGATAACTGAATCGTACCGTCACATTATTCAGTGGTCGATAATCAATGCACGGGCGTAAACCGCCATCTTTCTTTTTCACAAAGAAGAAGCTTGAGGAGGCAGGTGAAGTGGAGGGACGTATATATCCCTGCCGCAGGGACTCGGTGACGTATGTTTCCATAGCCTCCATTTCAGCCTGCGACAGGGGATACACATGACTCCTGGGAGGTACAGCGTCTACCCGAAGGTTTATCGCGCAATCCCCCTCCCGATGAGGTGGTAATTTAGTCACTTGCGTCTTGGAAAACGCACGCGCCAGATCATGGTGTTCGGGGGGAATGCGCACGGTGGGGATACCGTCTGGACTTTCCACCGTAGTTGCACCAACGGAAACACCTAGACACCTACCCCGGCACTCACACGACCACCCCGTAAGAACCCTCTGTGGCAATGAGAACTTGGGGTTGTGCAGGGCTAACCACGGGATACCCAAGACTACAGGGTAAGCAGGAGACTCAATAATCATAAAGTTGATCTGCTCAACATGCGTCTCCTAATCATGGTGATTGAACCCGTAACCTCCTTAACCAACCCGGACCCTAATGGTCGACTATCAAGTGCTCTGATGGAGAGTGGAATGGATAGGGGAACCAGTGAAATGCAGTGACGGCGTGCAAATGCCCTGTCCATGAAGTTCCCAGCTGCGCCTGAATCGACTAGCACCTTACACTGGGAACCTATCAAGTGATCGGGGAAGGAGATAGGTAAAGTACATTGCGCCGCAAAGGGCTCTGAACATGTTTGGGTGTTCGTTACCTGGGGTGATGCGTGAGTACCCTGCCTACCGCCTCCAGACCCAAAAGCACGTTGACAGCGACGTGAAGTGGATTGTCCCTTCATGCCACCAGTGGGGCACTGTCGCTGTCCTCCTGTGCTCTCTCAACCGGTGGCTCCTCCCAGCTCCATCTGCTCGGGGTCAGAATCATCCGGAGTGAGAACGGGCAGACCCCTACAAGGACGTCCTCTGGCTGCCAGCAGATTGTCCAGCCGGATGGCCATGTCTACCAGTTGGAAGAATGATAGCATGGCATCCCGGCAGGCTAGCTCCCGTTGGACG